GGATGTGTGTTAACTGAAGGGACGGGGTTTTAATGGTGTGTACTGAATGTTTGTTTTGATGTGTAATATGTTTTGTTTTACAGGGACTGAACTGTTCCTGTTGTCCTTTAATGCAGTTTTGTTTGAGTTGGGGTGGTCTGCCCAGCCTTGCATGGCCTATAGACCAAAAGATCTGGATAGAGTCTTGTAAGGGCTGCCCGACTCCCTTTTTGTACCTATTTTCCTGTTTCTTTAAAGGGGCATTATGGAATTTTGACAGCCAAAACATGTAAAGAAATAATAAATTTCTTCTTCATACATTCTCCTGCAATGCCCTGGTCCTATAAAATGAGCCCTGGCATTTTTACTGTGATTGCCTATTTTTCTGTAAAATCACAGAAAAAGAAAGCTGCTCAGGTCGAGCACGCTGCTTCATGCGTGTTCACGCTCAGGCATAGCCCTTCGAACCCTTCTTAAGTGGTACAGATACAAATGATGTCACTGGCGTGTTAGCTTGCCAGGTAGGACATTGTACTTTCATGCAGAAGACCTGGGTTCGATTCTGGATGTGAATATAGTTTATTTAGAGTTTCTTTTTTACATTAATGGTATCTTTTTTTACAGTAAGATGCCCAAATTTTTATTTGAGACTCGCCAAACGGCATTGAATTCACAGATAAAAAAGATGTGGGTTCAACTTTCATTTTGGAACAATTTTTCAAGAGTATGCAGGAGGACTGACCCATCTTAAACCTTTGTCGGCTGTGCTGAAGAGAAAAAGGTACAGAACCAAAATATTTAATTAATTAAGCCGGGCGTACACTGTGCGACTTTTTCACTCGTAGCACTCAGCTTCAGCTCAAACTGTACGACTTCCTCGCAGAGCAGATCTCACGAGTCATGTGCTCACACTGCACGACCCAGTTCTCGGATGCGATCTGACTGCTCACACTGTACGTCTGGTAGCAACACGTCGGCCCTAAAAATATGCTAAAAATAGCAGTTTTTACTCAACACGTCAGACTTTTTTTGTCTTGTTTTGCCTGTTTTCCTTCGGGAGTGCTGCAGGAGGACACACAGGGATTTATGGGGGTTGGATGAGGAAAACAAAATAAAGAAAGTAAATCTGTGTTTTGTGATCAGTTTAATTTGACATGAACACGACAAACACGCTTTCTTGACAATCTTTGTGAGTAAAAAAACGTGTAGAAATAAAAACGAACAGCGTGTGTTATTAGGGAAATAGCGGGGACCGGTGTTGATGCAGGATTGCACATGCGCCGTGAGCGGTTCTGATACTTTTTGGGTCGCAGCTGCTCGCAGCGCCGCTTCAACAGTGCGATACCCTCACGAGGGACGAGCGAAATATTAAACACTTCAGAAGTCCGTGCGACCTCACGACTGCTGATCGGTAGCTGGTCACGTGGTGTTAATCGCCTCTCGTAACCCCCTGTACACTACACGACCCCTCGGCGCAAAACTCGCCCCGATGTTGTGGATTCTCGCACGACTGGAAAATCGGCTCAAAAAAGTGAAAAAGTCGCACAGTGTACGCCCGGCTTTAGCTGCGCGTTCTCCTGTCCTCTGTCCTCCTGGCCACACACACACACGGAGCTGACTGTCTCAGCTGTTATTTTTGTTAATGAGTGTGCACGTACAGCATGCGTGCCTCGTGCACGAGCCTACTATTGAAGCTGCCGTTACACTTTTGGCCTGAGGGGGCAATCACGAGCATAAAAATTCAAAACTCCGTAAAGTCCCTTTAAATTATCTTGTGTTCAATCAATTTTGGTAAATTTTATTACAGTGTCACAGTGGTCTGTTGGGACCATCAACATATATACTGGACAATTCATTTCCATAGGCTCCAATAACACGTTTTTGAGGCCAAATGAGAGGTGGCCACCACCGCCATTTTGACCGTGTCACAGGTTCCGTCAAGCCCAGACATTTCCAAAAAAAGGGAAGAGAGGTGGAGCTGAGGTTGGGGCTGTAAAGCTTGGTTTATGCTTGACGCATTCACTTTCCGCGCGGTGATGCGGCTTGCGGCTGGAACGCGCTTCACAACTCGCAGCGTTTATGGTTTGTGCGGCTTGTCTCTGCGGTGAGCCAATATTCTCCCAAACTGAACGGGGCAGCATGGAGTTCTACAGCATGCATCCAACACTACACCATAGTAGAAGTAGAAATTACTGTTTACAACATGGTATTTCAGCATTTTTAACAGCGTTCTCGTCTTTTCCGACAGTGCGAGCTATTTCTCTCCAAGAATTATTAACAGCATGTTGATCACGGTGATCTCTGAGAGCTGAATCATACAAATGTCTGTATTTACGAACCTCTGCCGTGCCGGTCCGCCATGTTTTTCCGCGTCCGACCGTCCGCGTGGTTAGAAATTTTCCGAGGTGCGCGTTGCGGAAATCTTGGGCCGTGCGGAGACGCGGTGGAGGGGCGCGGTTGTTAAAATGACGCAAAATGACGCAACTTTTCCGCGCGGAGCCGTGCGGACCTCGCGGACGCGTCAAGCATAAACCAACCTTAAGGCTGGGATCAACTGACAACACCCGGTCTAACTAGCTACAAGCTAACCCTGGCTAACCCAAAGCTAACGCAGAGGTGAGAGCCAAGCTAACGGATGTAGCCACCTAGCTACAACCAGAGCTAACTCTGTGGAATACCCATCAACTGCATGGAGTTCAGGTGGAGGCTTGCGGCGCTTTTTCATGAAAAGTACCTTTCTGTGGATTAAAAAAAAATATTAAATCGATACGTTTATAAGTTATTTCCATAATGAAAATATATTTTGCTTTGAGCAAGTTTTCACTATCTTTAACATACCGTATTTTCTGGACTATTGTTGGGGCTGGACGAGGAGTGAGGCCTGCCTGATGGCTCATCAAACCGACAATAGAAATTGTTTAGGTTGTTTGCCAAGAGCAGATTATCGGTGGAGGCGGAGGTTCTGGGTTTGTAGTTGGTGATGTTCCTGAAACTTTTCCACACAGAGGTTGGGTCGTTTTCAGTGATTTGCTGCTGCATTTTGTCATGATGCTGGTGTTTTGCTTTGACCAATTCTTTGCTGAACCTGTATTTAGTGTCTCTGTCGGAGTCCTTCTCCCCCCTTTTAAATGCATCTCTCTTTTCTAACCACAGCTGTTTGAGTTTAGGGGTAAACCAGGCTTTGTCATTGTTATAACTCACCCTGGTGTGTGATGGTATGATGCTGTCCTGACAGAAGTGGATGTAGGAGGTGACGGTATCTGTGAACTCATCTAAACTGTCTGAGGTGGCCTTCATTACCTCCCAGTCTGTGGTCTCAAAGCATGAGCGAAGCTCATCTGTGGCATCTGTGTTCCACTGTCTTGTTGACTTCACAACAGGCTTGGAGAGTTTTAGTCTTTGTTTGTAAGCTGGGATCAGATGGATGGTCACGTGGTCAGAGAGTCCAAGCGCAGCGCACACCACTGCATGATAGTTCTCCCGTTACTGTGCTGTAACAGTGGTCCAGGGTTTTCTCCTCTCTGGTTGGACATTTGATATACTGTTTATATTTGGGAAGCTCCTGGCTCAGATTTGCTTTGTTAAAGTCTCCAAGTACAATGATGAGGGAGTCCGGGTACGTCGTCCGCTCCACAGTATCTCTTCCGCGAGCGTACGCTGAGCCTCGTGCACGTCCGCATCAGGTGGGATGTAAACAGTGCCTAGAATGAATGAGGCGAACTCCCACAGAGAGTAAAATGGTTTACAGTTTGTGAAAAGATATTCCAGAGATGGAGAACAATGCTGCGCAATCACTGTGACATCCGTGCACCAACCATTATTGATGTAAAAACACACACTTCCACCTGTGGTCTTGCCGGAGAGAGTCACTTTCCGATCTGCGCAGATGAGGTGAAACCCATCCAGCTGGAGCGCGCAGTCGGGGGTGTCCTCACTGAGCCATGTTTCAATGAAGCATAGAACCCCAGATGAGGAGAAGTCTCTGTTTATGTTCCTCATCAGGGTCAGCTCGTCCATTTTGTTGCGAAGTGAGCGCACATTAGAGAGGAAGATCCCAGGTAGAGCCATGCGCAGTCCCCGTCTCCTCAAACGCACGAGCACGCCCGCTCGTTTACCTCTCCTCCTGCGTCTCACTTTCCTGATCAAAGTTGATATTGATTCGGCCACGGATGCAACAAAAATTGAGGTGAAGTCCACCAGAATCATAGTGTTGTAACTTATGAGTTCTTCTCTTGAGTAGGAGAACCCAGATACGCAATTTACACACAAAAACAGAACAAAAACAGCGCACCAAAGTACCAAGGCAGCCGTCTGCGGCGCCATCTTAAGATTGTAGTTTAGGCAGACTTATGTTGCACTAAAAAAGCTAAAATGATGACTATACACTTTTACACCACTATTAGACGCTATAAAGTTTATCAACAAAAAAAGTTCATTTGGGGATGACTTGCTCTTTAAAACCAACTCATTTCTTCCACATCCATGACTGACCCGCCATTATACCTATGACTTTTGTTGATTTAAGGCCAATTATTTCATTTATTTGTCTTGTAGGTTGAAACTTAGTTGTTTTTCTCCCAAGCTTTCTATAGCCTGAGCTCATTGTGGTACACACTGATATCAAACAGCAGTGTGACTACTTGTCACCCCTTAAAATACACAGATTGACTAATTACTGGATTAAATAAGTCTGTGATCCAAATAAAGGATAACATTCTGTTTCACATGTCCCTACAGTCGAAAGATTTTCAATCGGGTGTCATAATTTGTGTCCATTTTGTTCAAGTTTTGTTTATTTTTTGGTAACAAAATGAAAAAAAATTAAATCAGTTGCATCATGTCACCAGTGATGTAAACCTTTAGTCCCCACTGATGTCAGTATTCACAATGGTGAGGAAGATTATATAAATCTAGAAAGCAACAGCAGATTTCACTTCGGAGCACCATACATGTGCTGTTGTCTGGAGGGAGTTAGATTACAGCATCTTCTGTGTGATTAGCTATTTTTCATATCCTGTTAGATGACAGTAATGTCCTCAGATGAAAAACTCATTTCTCTATTTAACTCCACATTTGTTCGTCCTTCAAAATTTTATCTTGGGGGGTTTTCTAACATCCCTTTTGTTAAGTATTATTATGTCTTCTTGTGTTTTGTTTACATCATGACTGTTCTTGGAAATGGTTTTCTCCTTTCTGTTATCTACCTGGTAAAGACTCTCCATACTCCCAAATATATGATCGTGTTCAACCTGGCTTTGACAGACTTGTGTGGGAGTACTGCTCTCATCCCAAAACTCCTGGACACATTCTTGTTTGACAGGAGATACATTCTCTATGAGGCATGCTTGAGTTATATGTTCTTTGTTTATTTCTTTGTAGGAATGCAAGCATGGACTCTTGTCACCATGGCGTACGACAGATTTATTGCAATTTGCTTCCCGTTAAGATACCACAGCATTGTCACCAAAAGATCTATATTTGCAATGCTGCTGTTTTCATGGATGTTTTTATTGGGTTATTTTGCTGCAATGGTTGAATTTCTTAATCAGCTTTCTTTCTGTGGGTCTTTAGTGATCCAAAGTTTTTTCTGTGACCATGCACCCGTCTATCTTCTTGCCTGTAATGATGCATCTTATAGTTATATAACAGGGGTAATTGCCTTCACTATATTCACTTGCATCCCTCTTGTACTGATTATTGTTACTTATGCTGGTATTTCCATCGCACTGAGCAGGAATTTTTCAAGAGATAAAAGACTTAGAGCGCTAAAAACCTGTACTTCTCACCTGCTGCTTGTTGCTGTGTTTTTCCTACCATTTGTTGGCTCTAACTTAGCTGCTCTGACTTCCTACATTCACCCCAATGCTAGAATTATAAATTCCAGTTTATCACACACAATTCCATCTCTGCTGAATCCTATTATATACTCTTTAAAGACAGAAGAAGTGATGAATGCGATTAAGAGGATTTGTAAAAGAAACAGACCTCTATCAACATAAAGTCTATTTCTTGTTTTAAAATAAGTTAGGCTAATATGTTGCTTTCTTTGTTTTAGTGGCTTTGTTATCCTTCCTGTGTTACAAATCCACACCTGCTGCCTTAAGAATTGTCAAGAGACAGCTGACTTTGTCTCCCAGCAGTTTTGCTCAAAGTGGATCCCTTAGACACACATCAGTCTTCTTGACTGCAACAAACACAAATGCATCGACAGTCTGTCATGAAAACTGAATCCCCAGGACATGTTTCAATGTACCTAATGCAACTCCTCTCAGAGGGCCTTTTCTAAATTCATACCATAACAAACTCTAATTGATGTTAGTAATCACTGGACCTGTATCTTTCCTCAATATGACTGTCCTTCCCGAAGTCCTCCATTAAAATCCTAAGATTCCCATTAGTTGAGTTGTGTTCATTCTTGTGTATTTCTTTTCCCTCAAAATGGATACAATGCTATCTTTATGGTTTAGCTGTACTATGAGTTTTTCCTTATCTTGTAATTAGTTACTTTAGTCCTCAGGTTGTCTTTTATTGCTAAAATTAAACATGTTTTTTTTCCATTAACGTTTATCTTAACTTCCTATTTTTATACTATACTAGTAATTTGTAATATGGATTTCTATCAGTATTAATCTGAGCAGCACTGAGTATGATGCACAATGCCCCACGCTCCCAGAATCAATTCAGCACTTATTTTGAGTCTTTCACACCTGGTAAGTTGTTCGTGCTGCATAGGATCATCTGGCAACAGCAGACACATTGTGTGAATTATAGTTGCTTTTGTTGTTTATCTTTATTCTAACTGGGGCCTGATTTATAAAACTTATGTCTCTTCCACACTAGCGCTGGCTCCCCTCCAGTCAGTCCCAGCCCGCCCCAGCTTGGCCAGGTTAATTATACACATTAAATCCAAACATCTTTAGGAATGCGGACATGACTGAGCATGTGGGCCATCTCCTTAATTTGCGCGAAGATATCAGTGATGTCATGAGCGCACCTCTGAGCACATGGGCGGGGCAAAAGATGCATGGAGAAGTCCGCGGTAAACAAAAAAGGCAGCCGTGAGCAGCAATGCTTTTGGAGACTGACTCTGATATTACATCCTGAACTTCTGCCTGTCTTCCCGCAGGGCAGCTCAAGTCTTGCAGAGCTGCGTGTGTGTGCATTTGTGTGTGCTCACAGCAGAGAGAGTAAAAAAAGAAATGGCTTCAGTCAGAGGCATGTTTCCTCCTCAGTAACCAGAATGATAATGAATTGCGCATACGGGAAGCCCCTGCTGGCTGACTATATCTGCCAATCGAAAGCTCCCCCTGATGGTAGGTGTGAATTTGAGCCAGCCAATCAGTTGTCACCGGGTGTGTCGGACCAGTTCAACCCGAAGCAGATCGCCTTCGGAAGAGGTCTAAAAAACGATTTGTTGCACGCAGAAAAAATCCAGGCTATGTGAACTAGAAGCCGACCGACAAATTTACTTATTTCTATCCATCCATCCATTTTCATCCGCTTATCCAGAGTCGGGTCACGGGGGCAGTAGCCTAAGGCGAGAGGCCCAGACTTCCCTCTCCCCAGCCACTTGGGCCAGCTCCTCCAGGGGAATCCAAAGGCGTTCCCTGGCCAAATGAGAGACATAGTCCCTCCATCGTGTCCTGGGTCTACCTTTAGGTCTCCTCCCGGTTGGACGTGCCTGGAAAACCTCACCAGGGAGGCGTCCAGGAGGCATCCTGACCAGATTCCCGAGCCACCTCAACTGGCTTCTCTCGATGTGGAGGAGCAGCGGGTCTACTCTGAGCCCCTTCCGAATGACCGAGCTTCTCACCCTATCTCTAAGGGAGAGCCCAGCCAGTCTCCGGAGAAAACTCATTTTGGCCGCTTGTATCCGCGATCTCGTTCTTTTGGTCACTACCCAAAGCTCGTGACCATAAGTGAAGGTAGGAACGTAGATCGACTGGTAAATCGAGAGCTTTGCCTTCTGACTCAGCTCTCTCTTCACCACGACAGACCAGTATAACGCCCGCATCACTGCAGATGCAGCACCAATCCGTCTATCGATTTCACGCTCCAGTTTTCCCTCACTCATGAACAATATCCCAAGATTCTTAAACTCCTCCACTTGGGGCAGGACCTCATCCCTGACCCGGAGAAGGCATTCTACCCTTTTCCGAATCAAGACCATGGTCTCAGATTTAGAGGAGCTGATTCTCATCCCAGCAACTTCACTCTCGGCTGCGAACCGCTCCAGCGAAAGTTGAAGATCACGTTCTGATGATGCCAACAGGACCACATTATCTGCTCAAAGCAGAGACCTGATCCTTAGGCTACCAAAACAGATGCCCTCCACACCTTGGCTGCGCCTAGAAATCCTGTCCATAAAGGTTATGAACAGAATCGGTGACAAAGGGCAGCCTTGGCGGAGTCCAACTCTCACTGGGAAGGAGCCCGACTTGTTGCCGGCAATGCGGACCAAGCTCTGACACCGGTCATACAGGGACCTAACAGCCCGTATCAGAGGGCCTGGTACCCCATACTCCCGGAGTACCCCCCACAGGGCCTCCTGAGGGACGCGATCAAACGCCTTCTCCAAATCCACAAAACACATGTAGACTGGTTGGGCTCATTCCCACGCACCCTCCAGGATCCCCCTAAGGGTATAGAGCTGGTCCAGTGTTCCACGGCCAGGACAAAAACCACATTGCTCCTCCTGAATCTGAGGTTCAACAATCCGACTGACCCTCCTCTCCAGAACTCCTGAATAGATCTTACCAGGAAGGTTCAGGAGTGTGATCCCCCTGTAGTTGGAACACACCCTGCGGTCCCCCTTTTTAAATAAGTGGACCACCTTCCCGGTCTGCCAGTCCAGTGGGACTGCCCCCGATGTCCACGCAATATTGCAGAGCCGCGACAGCCAACACAGCCCCACAACATCCAGAGCCTTAAGGAACTCTGGGCGGATCTCATCCACCCCTGGAGCCTTGCCACAGAGGAGCTTTTTAACCACCTCAGTGACCTCAGCACCAGAGATTTGAGAGGCCAACCCAAAGTCCCCAGACTCTGCTTCCTCACTGGAAGACGTGTCGGTGGGATTGAGGAGGCGGATGGCTGCTTATACTGAGCCAGGATCCTCTGGAGGTTTCTTCCTGTTAAAAGGGAGTTTTCCTCTCCACTGTCGCTATATGCTTGCTTAGTATGAGGATTGCTGTAAAGACTCTGACACTAGTCTGTTGGAAAGGCCACCAGGTGGCACACTTGCGGACTCACGCTCTCACTCTCTCAGAGCAGAGCTGACGACAGTGCAGAGGAGACCACCAAGCAGAGCATGTGGAGAAGCACATGAGACAGCAGAATGGAGGAGAGTTTTACTTTGCTAGTTCCCAGGTTAAATCAGTTTTGTGTGCGTGAATGACTGCTAAGTAAGTAATCCTTTGTTTACTGGACCTGCTTACATAATGTGTGAGGAATAAGTTTGTTTGCCTCGTGATGTTCTGGAATGTTCTCATGTCATAGTTATGCTTGACAGTTCTGTCATGAATCTGCACTGCCTTATTGTATGAGAGTGTAGGTCCCTGTTGCCTATTTTATGCATGTGTGTAGGTTGCAGTGTTGGATGTGAGGTGGTTTATAGCTGTAAAAGTGGGTAATTTGGTTTAGAATCTCAGAATATTTGAGTGTTGGTAAATCCCTGAAATGGCCACTAGATGTCCTCCTTGTAACATGTCTGCGCTGGCAGTTTACCCAGAGGGTTTTTAGCTTGTGTGGCCATGTAGACTGGGTTGCCTAGACCAAGGTGATCTGGACCTGCTGATTATTATATTCTTTTCTGTTTAGAGGTTTTTTTTTTCTCCTACTATGTTGTTGTGTTTGAACAAATGGGGCAGAATATATTTTATGTTAATCTGTTCTTCCTGTATTATTCTTTCCTTTCATTTAGACCACACTCACCTACCAACATCCCTGTTAACTCTGGGTAATTCTTAATGAGTTGAATATTCATTGCTCAGCCCTGCATCATTGTTCTGCGTGCCCCTGTGCATTGTTGTTTCTATTACTTTTCACCTGAGAATAGAGGCCAAGTTAAAATGAAGCCTGAACTTGTGTTCTTACCGACACCCCAGGAAGACACCCTTTGTTTGTGTGTGTGGCATTGATGAGTTGTCAGGTGATTCTAAATGTCCTATGACTGCAAAACCACGTTCACATTTTGTGAGTTGTAAAGCTGTTGTTGTTGGTAACCGTTGGTTACTTAATACCCCTGCTAGAGAAGCTGAAGTTTTCTATGAGCAGTTTGGTGTGTCTACATGAGTTGTGCTTCCCTCTAAAACCTTATGGGTAACAGTTCCACGTGGCACTACGGTCCATGTGGGTGAGGTCTCTCTATATTACTTGGATCCTGGTGAGCATAGGGCTGAAGTAGAGTTTTCTCCTTTCTACGATAACATCTCCTTTGCTCTTTCTCCAGCGACGATGGATCGTGTTACATTCGACGGTCCAACCATGGTTCGAGTGGGTGTGGTGAACAGAATGCTACGTGAGTTGTCGGCAGATCCTGGTCCCAAGTTTCAACCAGTGTCTTACTCCTGGTCCTTTGCTGATTCTGTCGTGATATTCATTATATGCCTAAACCTCGGCTTGCTCTGGGGTGTGTTCTTTATCCTATTCCATTATTTCTCCGCACAGTTGAACCTTCTGGGGAACTCGGTCGGTGATGTCAAAGGACGCCTAACTCGAGCCTTAGCGCCGGTTCATGGAGCACCGGCTGCCCAGGTGCCTCCGCCTGAGCCGGCCGGTCCACCTCCTCCTCCGTCTGCCAGGACGTAGAAGGTGAAGTGATTTCGGTTGCCAGACTCGTCGGTTCCATAGTTTCTATCTCGAGTTACACAAGTTTGTCTATGTTTGTGTGTGCGCATGGTTGTCTTTCCTGTTTATACATGACGTGCAGACTTGGGGTGAGTTGAGATGAACATGCTGTGGGTTCCTGAAGTCAGGTGATCAGTCAGGTAACAGTAGATTGGTTTAGGCCACATAGTACTGTTATCCAAATTTTTTTTTAGTCTCACTAATCTTAATTCCTTATGGGAACATTCACATGAGGGTGATTACTAACCACTGATGTACATTTTTAGCTCCTAGACAATCACACGTCTATCTTTTTGTAGAATTTTGTTTCAGTGAATGAGTTGAAATCTTTACGATTAGCTTGGTTGATTACCATCAGGGGCTACAGCCATTTTTGCCCTTCAGTTGATTATATTTTTTTGTGTAGTGCAGTGAGTTCTCCCATACGCAGTATAGGGTTCTTTTAATTTTATGCTTTTTTGCACCACCCTTTTTGCATCTCATGTAGAGAGGGTTGCATCCATTTCTTCGCTTAGAGCTAATTCACATAATCCCTTCACATAGTACTTGCAGGTACTCACAGTGATAGGTTTATATTTGTTTGTTGATTTGCATGAGGCACTATTTTGTTGTGTCTACATTGAAGTGCCCTGTGCTGTGCTCTCTCTTTCCTGCTGAGTTCGTGATGATCCTGCTTCCTGAGGGTGGACCCGAGACTCGTCATCGGAATCTACTCCTCCTGGTTGGTGCTCCGGCTCATTGGACCTGGACGTCCGTTGGTTCCGGCATGGCTGCTGGGATACTTCGCTCGCTGGGACGACCTGTCTGCTGCTCTTCCCTTTTGCTGGATTATGATAAGTGCTCTTACAAAGATCAGTTTGCTGTTTAGAATTATTCCAGACCTGTGGAGATATAAGTTGCTGCTGCTTCAATTATTGCTTCCATGGGAATGTATGATAATCTACTGACTTGTGTGCTTCCTAAGGAGTATGCGAGACTGTTCTTCGGCGTGGGGTTCGTACCTCACCACTGTTGGCCTCTTCCTGTGGGATTGCACCCTGCTCTGTTGTCGGGGTCCTTCATAACTCTGGTTTGTTCAATGACCAGGTGGTCTCTGGACGGACCACTGTGCCCTTGAAAAGGGGGGTATGTAACGTGATGAAGGAGCTATTTCAGCCAAGGTTATTTAATCTTTCCCACAGTCCCTTTGACACAGCACCAGAGTGCATGAAACAGCCTCATGGTCATGCATTCACTTCTAAACTGTTTACATTCCAGCAATGAAGACAGAAGATGAAGACTGCTTTCTTTTCTTTTATTAAAAGCCAAAGAACTCTATTTTCAATAAAAGCTAATCAAAACAACTGTTAATCAAATAATACCATGTGAACGATCTGTGAAATCACAATATTATGATTAATATGTTTATAATAAGTAAATGACTTATTCTAGCCACTAGACACGCTGATACATTAAGGTAAATAATCACATGACACATTGCTGTCACTGATCCAATCAGAACCTTCACATCTGAAGCGTGGCAGAGTCTCTGTGGTGTTTATTTAATCTGTCAGCTTTGATTCGTCCAGAATCATAAACATCAATATTAATAAAACAGTCCAACGCCATTTTTAAGGCCAGTATTCAACAACATCTCAAGATCCCCTGAAGTTCACCGCATGCTAAGTGAAGTATGGACCGACCATCTATACTTTCCTTTTTAAGCTAAGAACTGCCAAGCTGGGGAATCCTGTCATTATTATCAACAAGCAACGGTTCCTTCAGAATAAAAGCTGAATCCGCTGACCAAAGGGGGGTCCCTTTTGACGCTGTGAAACACCTGTTGCTTTTCACCTGGAGTCTATCCAAAGACTGGTTTGTCGTGCTGTCGACGCTGTTTCATCGGCTCCAGTACCAGTGGAAAGTTGTGAACCTGGCATCCTGATCTGTACGGGAGTCTCACTGAAGGACATGTGGATGCGACATAAATGTCGTCTCATGTTTTTATGACCATGGTTCAAACGTTGATCAGTTAGGAGCAAAACATCTCCCACTCAGACTCGCTTCTCCGGAACGGAGGTTCTGAACTGACATCGCACCAACACACACTTCACCTCACATTCCATTCCACAAACGTCCATCATTAGAGTTAGTTTTGTTAAATTGTTTAAAATTAATTTTAGTAATAAAATTTCTTAAACGTTTGAAAGTCTCTCTCTCTTCTCTTGTCTCTCAGTTCATGCAAAGTGTTTATTTAATTTCCCTGTAATAAAAAGAACCAATCTTCTGATTTAAATAACCCAGTGTCCATTAGATGGGATCCATACTCGATATGGATCTTTAATGTCTATGGTCATTAATTAGATTGTAACTTTTTAACACTACAACTCCCTCCCTGATACAGTCCATCTACCTACTAACAACAGGCAATCTAACACTAGTCAGTGACTTGATGCAATTTGCTGTATTCCTTATATAGGAAACATTTTTCCTGATTGGCTTAATGAAATGACTTGGATTGGAATGTTTATTATGTGAAGTGCCTTGAGATGACTCCTCCTTGAACTGTCACCTTATCGTGGTGGAGGAGTTTGAGTGCCCTAATGATCCTAGGAGCTATGTTGTCTGGGGCACTTTGTGCCCCTGGTAAGGTCTCCCATGACAAATTGGTCTTAGGTGAAGGGTGAGACAAAGAAAGGTTCACAGGATCTTTCATGGATGTAAATTCAAAGAGTTGGAGTACCCGGCCCGGAGGGTTACCGGGATCCCACCCTGGAGCCAGGCCTGGGGTTGGGACCCGTGAGCGAGCGCCTGGTGGCCGGGCTTTCGCCCATTGGGCCCAGCCGGGCCCTGCCTGAACCGGATACATGGGCTCATCCAACTGTGGACCCACCACCCGCAGGAGGAACATGAAGGGTCCGGTGCAGTGTGGATCGGGTGGCAGACCAAGGCGGGGGCCTTGGCGGTCCGATCCCCGGACAAGAAAACTGGTTTTTGGGACATGGAACGTCACCTCGTTGGCGGGGAAGGAGCAGGAGCTTGTGGCAGAGATTGAGCGGTACCGGCTAGATATAGTCGGACTCACCTCGACACATAGCATTGGCTCTGGAACCCAAGTCCTTGAGAGGGGTTGGACACTCTCCTTTGCTGGAGTTGCTCCGGGTGAGAGGCGGAGGGCTGGGGTTGGCTTTTTGTTAGCCCCAAGACTCTCTGCCTGTGTGTTGGGGTTTACCCCGGGGGACAAGAGGGTAGCTTCCCTGCGCCTTCAGGTCGGGGAACGGGTCCTGACTGTTGTTTGTGCTTATGGGCCAAATATCAGTTCAGAGTACCCACCCTTTTTGGAGTCCCTGGGACGAGTGCTAGATAGTGCTCCATCGGGGGACTCCATTGTCCTGCTGGGGGACTTCAATGCTCACGTGGGCAATGACAGCTTGACCTGGAGGGGTGTGATTGGGAGGAACGGCCCGCCTGATCTGAACTTGAGTGGTGTTTCGTTATTGGACTTCTGTGCAAGCCACAGTTTGGCCATAACGAACACCATGTTCGAACATAAGGATGCCCATCGGTACACTTGGTACCAGGGCAGCCTAGGTCGCAGGTCGATGATAGACTTTGTAGTCGTATCATCTGATCTGATCTGTTCTGTTTTGGACACCCGAGTGAAGAGAGGAGCGGAGGTGTCAACTGATCACCACCTGGTGGTGAGTTGGATCAGATGGCAGGGGAAGATGCCGCGTAGACCTGGCAGACCCAAATGAATAGTGAGGGTCTACTGGGAACGCCTGGCAGAAGAACCTGTTAAGACGATCTTCAACTCCCACCTCCGGCAGAGCTTTGACCGCGTCCTGAGAGCAGTGGGGGACATTGACTCCGAGTGGGCCTTGTTCCACTCTGCAATTGTTGAGGCGGCTGTTGCTAGCTGTGGTCGCAAGGTGGCCGTTGCCAGTCGTGGTGGCAACCCCCATACCCACTGGTGGACACCAGAGGTTCGGGGAGCCGTCAGGCTGAAGAAGGAGGCCGACAGGGCATGACTGGTCTGTGGGTCTCCGGAGGCAGCAGACAGGTACCGTATAGCCAAGCAGGGTGCAGAAGTGGCAGTTGCCGAGGCAAAATTTCGGGCATGGGAGGAGTTTGGTGAGGCCATGGAGAAAGACTATCAATCCGCTCCAAAGAGGTTCTGGCAAACTGTCCGGCGCCTCAGGAGAGGAAGGCAGCAACTCGCTCACACTGTTTACAGTGGGGATGGGGAGCTGCTGAAGTCAACTGGGGCTATAGTCGGACGGTGGAAGGAATTCTTTGAGGTGCTCCTCAATCACACCTATGCGCATTCCAAGGAGGAACCAGAGCCGGGGGACCTGGGGATGGACTGTCCAATCTCGGGGGCAGAAGTTGCTGAGGTAGTCAAACAACTACACAGCGGCGGAGCCCTGGGGGCGGATGAGGTTCGTCCTGGGTATCTCAAGGCTATGGATGTTGTAGGGCTGTCATGGTTGACACGTTTCTGCAACATTGCGTGGTCATCGGGGGCAGTTCCTGTGGAGTGGCAGACCGGGGTGGTGGTCCCCATCTTTAAGAAGGGTGACCTGAGGGTGTCTTCCAACTATAGGAGGATCACACTCCTCAGCCTCCCTGGAAAGGTCTACTCCAAGATACTGGAGAGGAGGGTCCGATCGATAGTTGAATCTCAGATTGAGGAGGAGCAATGTGGCTTTCGTCCTGGCCGTGGAACTGTGGACCAGCTCTATACCCTTGCAAGGGTGATGGAGGGGGCATGGGAGTTTGCCCAACCAATCCACATGTGTTTTGTGGATTTGGAAAAGGCTTATGACCGTGTCCCCAGGGGCACCCTGTGGGGGACGCTCCAGGAGTATGGGGTGGGTGGCTTTCTGTTAAGGGCCATTCAGTCCCTTTACCAGAGGAGCGTGAGTTTGGTCCGCATAGCCGGTAGTTAGTCAGACCTGTTCCCGGTGAGGGTTGGACTCTGCCAGGGCTGCCCTTTGTCACCGGTTCTGTTCATTACCTTTATGGACAGAATTTCTAGGCACAGCCGTGGTGTGGAGTGTGTCGAGTTTGGTGGCAAGAGAATCTCGTCTCTGCTTTTTGCGGATGATGTGGTCCTCCTAGCTTCATCCAGCTCTGATCTTCAGCTCTTGCTGGGTAGGTTCGCAGCAGTGTGTGAAGTGGCTGGGATGAGGATCAGCACCTCCAAATCTGAGACCATGGTTCTCGACCGGGAAAGGGTGGCTTGCCAACTCCGGGTCTAGATCTCGGGGTCTTGTTCACGAGTGAGGGTAGGAGGGATCGGGAGATCGACAGGCGGATTGGTTCGGCATCTGCAGTGATGCGGACGCTGAGCCGATCCGTCGTGGTGAAGAGGGAGCTGAGCCAGAAAGCCAGGCTCTCGATTTACCGGTCGATCTACGTCCCAATCCTCACCTATGGTCATGAGCTTTGGGTAATGACCGAAAGAATGAGATCGCGGATACAAGCGGCCGAAATTAATTTCCTCCATAGGGTGGCTGGGCTCAGCCTTAGAGATAGGGTGAGGAGCTCGGACATTCGAGGCGGACTCGGAGTAGAACCACTGCTCCTCCGGATCGAAAGGAGCCAGTTGAGGTGGTTTGGGCATCTGGTCAGGATGCCTACTGGACGCCTCCCCGGGGAGGTGTTTCGGGCATGTCCTGCCAGCAGGAGGCCCCCGGGTCGACCCAGGACACTTTGGAGAGGTTGCATCTCCAATCTGGTCCGGGAATGTCTTGGGGTCCTGCCGGAGGAGCTGGTGGAGGTGGCCGGGGAGAGGACAGTCTGTATCTCCCTAGTTGGGATGCTGCCCCCACGACCCGGACCCGGATAAGCGGAGGAAGATGACGACGACGATGCCTTGAGATGACTCTTGTCATGACTTGGCGCTTTATAAATAAAATTGAATTGAATTGAATTGAATTGAATTGAATTGAATTGAATTGAATTGAATTGCTGTTGTGTCCTTGGGCAAGACACTCAACACGCCTTGTCTGCTGGTGGTGGTCAGTGGGACCGGAAGCACCATTGTATGGCAGGCCAGGTCTTGCCTCTGTCACAGAGCAGCTGTGACTACATAGCTCACTGTCAGAGGCAGACTGAGACATCCCAGATGTAAAACAGAAAACAACTGTAGATCTTTCACCCCCTCTGCTGTGAGAGTGTATAACTCCTCAGTTTAAGTCTGGCATTATCCTGTTACGCAATAAGACCAATGCAATATTCAGTATGGGTTCAATACTTGTTCAATACTGGATTTACATTGCATGACTGTGTCTCTTGCAGTATGCTGCATAGTGTTTGAACCCAAGTTTTTATTCTCTTAGGTGTTGGTGCTGCTGTAACAAGTGGATTTCCCCACTGTGGGATCAATAAAGAATATTCTATTCTATTTATCATCACCAGCATGTGTGTGTGAATGGGTGAATGACTGATTGTGTTGTGAAGCGCCTTGGGGGTTGTAGAATCCTATGAAAGCACTATACAAATACAGACTATTTACCATTTATTATTTTTCTCTTTATTGTTAATCTGTCGATCTTACATGTGGTTCAAGTTGAAGCCTGTACCCTCACAAGCCATACCTTCTTTAGTACAGAAATATCTCCTACTCTTGTTAGCATCTTCATATTTTGTGTCTTTTCTAACTTCAAAACCCCCCAGATGGTCGAGTTTTCCTCTCCACTGTCGCTACATTCTTGCCTATTATGAGCGATTGGGTAAGCTTTACATCTAATTTGATTAGGCTTTTTGGTTTTTCTGTCCTTTCAACTATCCAGAAACATTAAGGGAAACTTTAAGTCACATTTTTTGCTTATTTTTCCATTTTCATTTTAGACAACTTTGAATTAAAAACAGCAAAAGAAAACAGCCTGTTGGTTCAATTAGAATAAAAGTAATTCTTAGGCAATGATAAAGTGCTCATTCAATGTTGAAGAGGAATCAGGTTTGTATTTTGCCATTAATTGCTCCATGTTCTAAGTAACAAACCATCACATGATTTATGTTATCAAGCCATTGGACAGCCGTACAGTGATGTAGTTTATGATCATGAGGTAACACATAAATGCTAAGTACAGCTCGGGATAGCTAGTGTTTACCACACACGTGCTGGTCTCAAAAGAGTCAACCAATTATTTTTGAAGATGTCTTCCCTGAGAACAGCTAGTGGGTGATGCGGGTTTGGTGGTTTCCTTTTTATATCTTAATGATAAAAATATGACGGTAATGCACACAGAAGGAAGAGAAATTGATCTAATTAACTCCACTTTTGTTCGCCCTGCAAGATTTTACCTCAGTGGGTTTTCTAACGTCCCTTATGCCATGTATTATTATGTCTTCTTGTGTTTTGTTTAAATCATGACAGTTCTTGGAAATGGTTTTCTCCTTTCTGTTATCTACCTGGTAAAGACTCTTCATACTCCCAAATATATGATTGTGTTCAACCTGGCTTTGACAGACTTGTGTGGGAGTACTGCTCTCATCCCAAAAGTCTTGGACACATTCTTGTTTGACAGGATATATATTCTCTATGAGGCATGCTTGAGTTATATGTTCTTTGTTTTATTTTTTGGTGCTGTGCAGTCATGGACTCTAGTCACCATGGCATATGACAGATTTATAGCTATTTGTTTCCCACTAAGATACCACAGTATTGTGACTAAAAAGTCTGTAGTTGCAATGCTGCTGTTTTCCTGGGCTTTTATGTTGAGTATCTTTGTCATCATAGCTGGGCTTCTTAATCGCCTTTCTTTCTGCAGATCTTTAGTGATAGGAAGCTATTTCTGTGATCATGGACCAATATATCGTCTGGCCTGTAATGACACTTATATTAATGAAACAATTGCAATCACTGCGTTTGTAACTATAATTTGTATTCCTTTTGTAATGATAATTACAACTTATGCTTTCATTTCCCTTGCCCTAAGCAGAACCATATCAAGGAATCAAAGACTCAGAGCTCTGAAAACTTGTACATCTCATCTGATTCTTGTTGCTGTTTTTTTCCTGCCTTATATCGGTACTAACGTAGCTGCGCTTACTTCCTATATTCATCCTAATGCCAGAATTATAAACTCTAGTTTGACACACACGGTTCCGTCTCTGATGAACCCTATTATATACTCTTTACAGACAGAAGAAGTGCTGAGTGAAATTAAAAGGCTTTGCAAAAGAAACAGGCTTCAAACAATGAAGTAAAAATAAAGATTATAAACTATTGTTTGGTTAGAAACAATATACTTATGCTGGTAAAATTTTATAACAAAATTACTTTATTTATTATTACCTAATAATACCTTAATTTACTTTTAACAATAATAATTATTTTTTTTCTAAATCCCTCTAAATCTGTGGATTTATTTTTGCCTTTTGGCCGCCAGATGGCGTATGACATCATTAATTTGTAGTGCTGTAGCTAGCTGCTAATAGTTCCTGCTTCAGGCCGTTGATTTAATCTTGTTGAACACAGATAAAAAATATATGTTTACTGGTTTGTAAAAGCGAAGACATTCTGGCTTCCTCATTATTTAGACTAACTATTCAGTTAACGTGAATACTCGTTGTAAATCTTTAGCGAAATGTTTTATTTTGAAGGAATGTACAGGAAGTCCTATCGAGTAATGTCTTGATTAGCTTTATGAACAATGGGAACAGTTTGTTGACAGTATGTTATCATGTGTTCAGAGCTGCAGAGGCCCGGACTCCTGCTGATGGAATGGCAGGATCCGGCAGATTAAAGGCAACAAATGTAGCCTCCTGTCTCCATATGACCGGATACTGAAGAGGTCAAACTGTACATGAAAAACTGACCATTTCTGGACGCTACATGCATATATGTAAATGTGTATATACGAATATACACATATGTATATGTGTATATTCATATATGTATTCATACACATATCCATATATATATATATATATATATATGTGTGTGTGTGTGTGTGTGTGTGTGTGTGTGTGTGTGTGTGTGTGTGTGTGTGTGTGTGTGTGTGTGTGTGTGTGTGTGTGTGTGTGTGTGTGTGTGTGTGTGTGTATGTATGTATGTATGCATATATATATATCAATCAATCAATCAGATGTATTTATAAAGCGCTTTTCAAACAAAGTGCTTTATAAAATGACCCCAGATTCCCATAACAGGTTAAAAAAATTAACAGACATATGCAAGCACACACACACACACACACACACACACACACACACACACACACACACACACACACACACACACAAGTAAAAATTATATTTGGCTGAGTCCAGATGAGCCAAGTAAGGTAAGGCAAGGAAACGCCATCAGAGGAGCCATCTGCCCCAGCAGCATCAGGTCTTCCACACTAAGTCAGTGCGCTCAGTGGAGGGGGAGCATAGACCCCACCTACAGAGCGCCCAGGAAGCTTCAGTCGACCACCGCTCCCGGGGCAGAGGGCCCCTACAGAGGAAACACTGGATTAAAATGAGTAAAACCATAATAAAATAGCTAATATAAATGACAAAAGTTAGAAAATAAGTAATAAATAAAATCATATAGACAGTAAAATAACAATATTAAATCATAAAACTGTGCTAAAATATAATCATATAAAACATGCAAAGTAAGTAATAAAATATAATCATGTAAAACGAGGAATAAAACTGTAGTAAATATTTAGATAAAAGCTAAACTAAAAAGATGGGTCTTGAGCCTGGACTTAAAAACATGAACGTTCTCTGCGGCCCTGAGGTCCTCTGGCAGCTCGTTCCAGAGGTGAGGGCCATAACACTGGAAGGATGCCTCGCCGTGAGTGTGTGTCCTGACTTTAGGGATGACCAGGAGACGCCTGCCAGAGGAGCGCAGAGGCTGTGAGGGTTCATATGGTAAAAACAGTTCTGAGAGATAAGAATGCCCACCGTTAAGACACTTAAAAACCATTAGAAGAACCTTAAAATTGATCCTGAAATATACAGGGAGCCAATGCAATGATTGTAATATATATTGATTTTAATATATGTGTGTGTGTGTGTGTGCGCGCGCGCGCGTGTGTGTTGGTAGTCCTGCATTTATCTGACCTATGTATTTCTGTTCGATTTTACTACCTTTATTTTTTTATTGTTTTGTTTTTGTTTCCGGTTTCATCCGGAAATGACGACATCCACCAGAAGTTCTCGGCTGCTGGTTCTAGACGAGACATCTGACGCCAGCTACATATATTAGCAATTCTCGGTTTTAAATCTTGTTCGATATAACGTTAAAATGTGGGAAATCAAATACAGAATAGTGTCTCAAACATTTTTGAGTTAATCATGCTATTTAGCAAGAGCTAACCATAAAGCTAACAGTTAGCTTGTTAGCTGTCAGCCGCTCGCTTTGTGTTCGCTGACTACAGGCATGAGTGAAGAGGACAGTTCAGCAGCAAAAGACAAAGACTCGACCCTTCTATTCACTAAAGATGGACAGAGGTACTATGTTAACAAAAGCGGAGTTGTCGACAGCAGAAATGTGGTAACACCGCACGAAGCAGAGAACAACGTCTCCTCTCATGGCTTGGATGATGCGGACGAGGAGAGCGACGTTCTGGACCCTTCGGATCCCAGAGACAGCGCTGCCAGCCCGGAGGAGCTGAACGACGAGGAGACCTCGGAGGGGGACAGCGCCCCCAAGCAGTGCACGTATGAGGGATGCACGGAGACAACGACGCAGGTGGCTAAGCAGAGAAAGCCATGGATGTGTAAAAAACACCGCAACAAAATGTATAAAGACAAATACAAGAGGAAGAAAAGTGACCAGGCCATGTCCAGCGGAAAACTCGATGTAAGACAAAAGTGCTTTAAATTACTTGCACCTAAATCCATCTTGATAAACATCACTTTAACCACCATGCATATTTCTATAATTTAGCCACCGGTTTTGTTGATTTGGTCTTACAGTAACACTCTTTACTAGATGTTTTGACTGAGCAACATATTTTATGATCTGTAATGTAAACAAGGGATGTAAAGGGATATTATTATTATTATTATTATTATTATTATTATTATTATTATTATAGTTTTTGGACCTAATCCACTGTTTTATGGGTACTTGTTAAAAAGTTATTCCAAAGTCATCACATGATTTCTTTTGTGAAAGTCAGATTTTGTTTTCAATTACTTTGAAATATACTCTCACTTCCATATGTCCTAGTAATTTATTTATAAAGAAATAAAATTACTGTTTTCCCAGCTTTCAATTTACATTCTTCCATATTGTATGTGAGTACTCCTCGGATAGGTCATTTGGTTTTATCCTTAATTATACTGGGATTTGGTCTTTCAAAGCTTCTTTGGTGTCTGCTGCTCTTAGTTATTTATTTTATTTTTTTCATTTTTACTCATTTCTGAGTGCTTTTCATCATCACTGCCTTCTGCATGACTGTCACTTGAGTCTTGTGGCGTTTGAGCCACTGACTTGTACACCTGTCGTCCCACGTTTTATTACATGTGTGTAAAATGAAGAAACACTAACTGATATCGACTTACCGTTCTTCTTAACATGTTAACATAGTTCAAATCTAGACACACAAGGGGGAGAAGCACTTTTTAAAAGAATACAGTGGTTATTTGGTGTGTGAAATAACTCATTAAGGCTCACATGGCTGGGAATCATTTTGTAAATACAGTTAATTTAATGTTTTTCCAAACAGTTTTAACATTTTTTCTGTTGATTGCCTTTTGTGTCTGTTCAGGAGAATTCAGAAGAGCGGCCTGTGTCAGTGAACAAGCAGCGCATGGGTGCCATGGGAGACCGTCCTGCCAGACCTTCACTTATTGAGCAGGTCCTCAACCAGAAAAGACTGGTAAGTCATTGAATGTGCAATCAGACAAAAACATCAAAATAGGGGCATTAAAACATTCAATAACACTAGAAGAAAGAAATGCGATATTAAGCCTTCTAGGATAATTTTAGAGATGTGAAATGCTTGAAAATGTTTTAAACATGTAGTTTTTAACATGAGACCAGGAAGTAGTGATAATGAAAGGTGCTTGGAAACCTATACCTGTCTATATACCTCAACCTATAACGATGCCAAATTCAGACATAAGATAAATGAATCTTGCAGCTATTTTGAAGACAGTGTTTCATTTTTTTCCTTTATTAGAATTTTTTTTAATACATTAAATCTTGGTTCTTAGAAATCTTAGTTTTCTGCATTTTTCTGTTTTCACACTTTGACCAGGCCTTTCCACCAGATGCATAAGAGAAGTGTAACACCTACGAAAGATAGTCTGCAGCCATTAGCCGCTGTTGTAGTTGACGGGTGTGATGCATGATGTTTTGGAAGCATCTCAGAAGCATAGAGGCGTGTTGCTTCAGCTTCAAGTCTATTTTTATGTGCTACGCTTCCAGAACTCTGCAGTTCAGATTGGACAGACGGAGTCTAACACAAGAACAATGTAAAACATCAGAAAACTTTCAAAATAAAAGTCACACTCAGATTTCAGGTGCTTGTCTAGTAAAAAAAAGAATGCTATTACCTTTGAAACCCTCTGTAGCTGAGGTAGAGAACATAAAATAAAACAGACCTTTTTAGGTGCATGCTGCTGTCTTTCTCTTTGTTATTGTACGAACTGCTGAAATCACTCGTGATCTTGCAGTTCTTCTGTGATTTTGTGAACTGGTAGGACCAGCTGCATGGAACGCTTTAGCTGCTTTTTTGCATCTGAAACGCTCCTGGTAGGAAGAGAGCTCAGGGTGACAATTCTGTAGTATTCCTGCACCTGTTCCTGTTGTTTTTCTCTTTTTCAAAAAAGAAATAGAAAAGTATAGATCTGGAAACAATTGCTCTTCTGAAGAAAGAGGAACCAAAGCTAATCAACTGTTACAAGTTGTTTGATACATCAGAGGTACTTTTTTTTAGCAGTTTAGTTAACATGTAGTATATAAATACAGTTACCATTTATTACAGAGGAGTTGTTTTCATTTACTAGAAAAAAGCAAAACATAGCAATAGATTTATTATTAACTAACACACATTTAAATGTACTGATGTGTTGACAGACTCGATGTTTCTTCTCTGAAATGCGATACGTTTGTGTTTCCAGTCTCTGCTGAGGAGCCCGGAGGTGATCCGGTTTCTGCAGCAGCAGCAGCAGCAGCTGTTGGCCTCACAGAGCCGCATCCATTCCCAGCAGCAGTTCCAGGGCTGCTGAACCGTTGGTGTTGCATACACTTGGAAAGACAACAGCACTTGATGCATAGATGGACATTTCTCTTCACTGCACGTTAACCTTCATCTGCTAAGGAAATTACAGTACACCCCAAAATTTCTCTCCACATATAATCACATTGTTGAAGTCATCCTATTTACTGAAATTAGTCTTTTTATTTCCTGGATTGTTACCCAGGTGTGATGTTTGTATGTTGTTTTGTTGATCCTGTGCTTTTCTGTGTGATTTCGCATCAGATTAGAGTTTTCTTGTGAACCTCTGGTTTTCTTATCCTTATTTATAGTTGAGTGCTACATTTTTACTTGTGACAGTCAGCGGTCATACTGTCAGCTAAGTAAACTTCAGGTTAGGTACAGAAAATCTGTGTTTTTCTTTTGAAACTTCTTTTGGTGAAATGTGTGTTTTAAAGTTCACATTAGTCATCATCTCACGCTGGTGAAATTTGATCCATTCCCGTGGAGAAGGTGAGCTGCAGCAGCGGCTGTGCTCAGGAACTATTTGGTGGTTTAACCAACCAATCCAAACCCTTAAAGCTGAATGTCAAGCGGGGTCCCATTTTTAAAGTCTTTGGTATGACCCGACCGGATGGGAAACCGGATCTCCCAGGACAGACACTACCTCTAGGTCACTGAGAAGGTTTTGGTTTTTGCTGAGGTTAAAAAAAAGTCAGTGACCAAATGAGCCAAGCTTTATTTTTGAAAGAGAGAAAAAGAGCAGCTTTAAACATTCAATTTATGAAAAACATGATTCAAACACATTGTTTAAACAAATGACAAATCTAATGATTAAAGTAACAAAAAAGGTTCAAAGCAACCAGTACATTCAAACATTGGTCAGCATATAGAAATACAGCACAAAACACTAATATGTAACATTTAAGTACCTCCAAATATATCCCATTTTTATGTAATGTGCAGTTCCACGTCTCAATAGAAACTAAATTAAAGATCAAGGCTTCATCATAATGAAATTAAATGACAATTTTTAAAGCTTAAAAGGACAAAATGCTACATTTGTCATTTTTGTGAGATGCCTCATTAGAGTGAGACAGAAAATAGAGCGAAACATACAGAATCAACGACTACCTGTGTGAGACCGAGAGACACGATTCATGTTATGATACTGAAGAGATGGGGTTGTGTGGGGAACCCATCTGTGTGAGCACCTTGTCCAGCCACTGTAGCGGTCCATGCAGATGGACTTCAATCCAGCAAGGGGTGCTGGTCACATCCTGACGGTGGTATTCAGCCCCCCAGCCCTGCAGAACAGCAACAGCCATACATCTCAGATGTTTGGAAGATATCAAGTTTATGTGAAGTTATACTCGTGCTGACATTTTCACGTTACATCAATTATTGTGGCAGAAATATTAAATTTCTGTAGGGCGTGACCCCTGGTTTCACCTGAAGTGCTGATAATATATTTTATTTAAAAGGGCCTTTCAGGTCACCCACGGTCACTTTACAGAAGAAGGAACGCAGTACACAATAAAAATACAGATAAAACAACTAAAGGACAAGTAAACAGAATAAAATTGATTAAATCACAAACAGTAAGCGTTTCGGAACAAATGGGTTTTGAGTTTGGTTTTGAAGAGGTTGAAGCTATCGGTGTTTCTAATGTCAGGAGGGAGAGAGTTCCAGAGACGGGGAGCAGAGCAGCTGAAAGCCCTACTACCCATGGTGCTGAGGTGGAATGAGGGAATTACCAGATGGATGGAGGAGGAAGATCTGTGAGAACGGCATGGTGTATGTGACAGACACTATCACCTTGTGGCCACAAGAGGCCCTCGGTACTCTGCCTGCACAGCGGCGGGCTGTCAGACTAATGGTGCCTCCCTGTTAAAAGGGAGCTCTGCCTGTCATTCTAGGAGAGGTTACAGATGGGCGTTGACACGGAGGTGTTTATACTCTCCTCTCTAGCTCTCTTTGCACTATAGGCGTTAAAGTCTTCGTTTGACACCTGGAGTGGTCCTTGTTTTGCTACCTGAGTGGTATTTTTGGTTATATTAATAATAATAGTAGCTGTGTGTCCTCGTCTACTGAGACTTTTCTCACCCTTTTGGTGCAGATTTTGTGTTTATCCATGTAGCATTATTCCAGCCCCTTTTTGCTGCGCCTTCTGTTTATAAAAAAATGTTTTATTAGTTAGAAATTCCTTTTGTTTATTAATTCCCAGTACTTGGATGACCCTTTTGTTTCCCTTTTCTGCCAAGAGCTTCGTTTATGTTAATAAATTTCCTTCAGAGAGTTTAAAAAGTTGTTTCATTCCGGTGCAAAATCATCTTTACTCCCTAAATCACATCGTGCTCCTAGCGAGGCCAAGGGACGTAAAAGTGTAACAATGGTAATGAGGCTGGCAATGTATGGAGGGGATATGGAATGGATGGCTTTGAATGTATGGAGTAGAATTTTGAAAATGGACCTGAATTTTATGGAAAGCCACTGAAGCTGCTGGAGGACCGGGGTGATGTGGTGGAAAGTGTCAGTTCTACTAATAATACGTGCTGCTGAATTCTGAACAAGTTGGAGTTTAAGAGTGAGTTTGCTAGGGAGACCATACAGAAGTGAATTACAGTAATCAAGGCGGGAGGTAACAAGGCTATTGACTAGGATGGCTGTAGCGTTAGACGTAAGGGAGGGGCGGAGATGATTTATGGATCGGAGGTGAAAGTATGCAGACCGAGTTATGTTATTGACATGAGCCTGAAACGAGAGAGAGCTGTCGAGGATGACACCCAGTCTCTTAACCTGAGGGGCGGGAGTAACCGTGGTGTTGTCAATGGTTATGGAGAAGCTGTCAATTTTGGCAATGTTGGACTTGGTACCGACCAGGAGAAGTTCAGTTTTACATTCATTAAGTTTAAGGAAGTTGGAGGTGAACCATTTTTTAATTTCTGAGAGGCAGAGGGTAAGGGTGGAAGGGTGGATTGGGGCTTACTAGACATGTAGCTGGTGATGTTTATGCTTATGCAAACTTAATAAAGTAAAGAATTATAAAATAAAGCTGCAACTGAAAGTTTGGACACTGGAGCTGTTAAGGTGGCAGCAGAACTAACATTTTTTTCTGAAAAAGGGCGGTTTAGGAAGTGGCCTACATATATGATAACTTCTGAGAAATTTTCATAGAACACAAAAGCTCACTCTGTGACTTATGAGTCTTAAGATTACACTTCCTGTACATCAATCACAAATAAACGCCCTGGTACCTTGACAAAGCTCATGCGGATGGTGCACATCTTGGTTAGCTCATAGACGACCTCGAACCCGTGATTGACAGACTGAGCGAGAAGCTGAGCAAACAATTGGTTGTTGAAAATCTTGAGGCTGCAGCCACTGGGGATCTTACAGACAGTGGTGGTGTGGAAGCCGTGCTGGAAATTACAGTTACGACTCTGGACGAAGATGCTGCTGTCACTCAGACACTCTGCGTACACCTCCCCGCCCACGTAGTACAGATGTAACCCTGAAAACAGAACATCAGATGCCATTGTTGAAGTCTGCAAACAATCCAGGATGGTATTACGATCAGTCTGTGTTGCCCACCTTTGCCTATGTGCCTGCGAGTGTGCTCGATGGTGGAGTTGCGGTTGACGTTGGAAAGCAGGCCAAGGCAGAATCGATTCTTGTTGTTGGATGGGTCTGTGAAGCCGTCCACCAAGACGCTACGGGACGAGGCATGGAAAGTCTCTCCAACCCGGTTGTTGAGCTCATAGTAGGCTACGGAGCACCAGTACTCTGGCTCTTCATAGCACACGGGTCGTAAATCTAAAGGCAAGAGAGTCTTAAAGGTGAAGAAAAATGTAATACATCAGCCTTGCAAGGGTAAAGTACCTCTGAGTACCTCTGTGTGGAGCAGAAAATGTAAGTTTAGTAGTTTCTGTGGGGTTGTTTGGCTTAACGTCATCTTGGGAATTAGTCTCCATCATGCTGTAGGGAGGAGGAGGAGTCTCAGCTGGAAAAGCAAATCACATAAAAAGTAAAGGACACACATTCATCAGCGTCCAAATCAACACATCTTGAACCTTTGATTCTTACCTGTTACGTGAAATGGACTACCAGGCTCTGCAGAGCTGCTGGGGGAGTTGGGGAAACTCTGCGAGGTGGGCGACTGGGCGAGGGATGAAGCCGGTGATGAAGAGGAGAAGGAGGAGCAGGGCAGTGGAGGGAAGGAGTCTGGGTAGGTGGCGTTCTGGGGCATCAGTGGCTCGTTGTTCAAGGAGGCACTTCTAAACTTGGCCAGTAAACTGTGCTGCGGGTTGTACTCACTGTGACGTGGAACAAGAACTGGTGGAAGCACTAAAGAACGGGAGACAATAAATAAAAACTTAAGACTCAAGAACAAAACATAAGAAATTTAGAAATAATATCTAAATACCTGGAGTCTCTACTCGTCTGTAGTGGTAGGGATTGACGCAGATGTCTTTCTGCTTGGAGCCGAAGGGAAACTCGCAGCATTCGAGGGCCTTCAGCTCATGGTGGGACTGGAGGTCTGGCCAGCGCCACACCCTGCAGTAGATCACATGGGGCAGACCCTTCCTATGGGACACCTGCAGCCTTCCGTCCAGTGATCGTGGAATGGTAACACATTTACCTGAGGGATCAAAATCATCAACAAAACTTTAAAGCAACACTTAAGAGTTTTTATCACTTTAAGCTATTGCTTTCAAACTGGTTTCAGTGATTCTTGAAGCAGAAACTAGACCAAGTGTTCACTGAACAGCGTAACACTTTTGTGGCACAGGTAGGTGCACTAGGGGGAGCTCTCTACCTGCTTTATGGCTGTTTACATTGACCGTAGCTAATATAAATGCTGGCAGTTAGCTTTTTCAGTTTGCTGACCATCAAGAAAAAAAGAAAATATTGCTCTTCCGTTGGCATCATGGCCGAGTCTGGAAGTAAAAGTAAGAGTAATGTCTTTTAAGGTAAAGCAAAGAGCTAAAACCAGAGTGAACATCGGTGTGGCCTACATTAGTTTGAGGGATCTGAAGGATACTATGAAGTCACAGACTGATGGTGACCTGGCTTTGTTGCTACTGAACTTGTGAGTAATGATATTTTTGGTCCAACAATGTGGATCTTTTTAATTAGTGGCTTATTTAGTATCAGTTGGCCCATTTTAGTGTTAGCTCATTGTTAGTGCCACAGCAGGCTGCGGCAGAGTTGTTTACGACCGTTGTAATTCCACTTTCAACCAGTAGGAGGGAGAAGTAGGGAATCTGATCTAGTGTGGCTTTAAATCTATTGTTGTTTGAAGGAGTGCTCAATTGCCAGAGAGTACATGGCCCAATCCCAATACTCGCACTTCCACGCTTGTGCCCTATTGGACAATCATGAGCAGGGGTGCTAGGGCATAGGGTGCCCTCTCAAATGCGGAAGTTGGTCACGCCCCTTTTGCACCCTTGAGTCATTGATGCAGACTTGGGTGAAGGGTATTACCCACAATCCATTGCTGCAAGACAAAAGGCTCAAGTTACATTTCTGAAAATATGTATTTTCTAATGAAATAGTTCATTTTAGGACGATTAGTTGATGCTCTGAAACTTTTACACAAAGCAGCAACAAATGTAAATTTATTTCAGATGATTGGTTGTTTGAAAGTTGTTAAAGGTTTTTTTTTTTTTAAGTATTACAGCGACCAGCATCCCGGCATGCATTATGGTCTATAACGCAATGCTCCCTGTCTCAATTCAGCAATTATTTGCACACGCGTGTACCACACACTCGAAGTGTTACTTCGCCTTTGACTCCCTTATCCAGGTGGCAAGAGCTCCTGCTATACAAAAAAAAAATCTTCTCCTTTTAGCTACACAAGGCCAGGAAAACAAGTTTTCAATGTGGCAAACAACTTTGAATTAAAATGGATATACAGGAATCTGTAATCAGAGAAGTTAGGAGAAATAAAAACAAAAAGAAACCATTTTGATGAATATGGGAGTCTGTTATTTTAGGTGGTATTTGATCTAATAAAAACCTTTGAGATAAAATCCCTAATAATTCACTCACATCTAAATATTCTATCTAACTAAATGTTGCTTTTTAAAGTCAAATTCACATAAAAATGGAAACAACTTTATTTTCTATGTCCACTTCATTTTGTTCAGGGTCAAAAAGCATCTGGATACTATTTGTTTCTAGAGCAGTAGTTTGATTACAATATTTCATAAATTTGGAAGTCTTCCATTAACTTACAAATATCCCAAGTTTAAATTAAAATCATAAAACACACAAAAATGGAATACCCTTCTGAACACCGCACTCCCTTATGTTAGGGTAATCATGTAAACACACTCACTGGGCTGCCCAGGACAGCTGAGGGCCCGCTCCAGCTCCTCCATCGCACCCTTCTTCTTCTTTAGTTTTTTCACTAAAGAATCCACAGCCTTCTCTGCCCACTTCTCCTCCTCATCACCTTGCTTCCAACCGAGCAGGCGCTTCACCGCCGGACTGGTGAAGGAGAACAACGACGTGATGGAGGTGGAGGAGTTCATTTTGAGATGAGTAAACAGGTGGCTAAATGAGCTGATAGGTCTGGTTAAAGAGATAATAGTTCCCTTGGGGACAGGGGTGAAGAGGCAACCGATGAGTAGCCACCACTAAGAAGAAGCAAAGAAAAAGCTTGATGGCTTTGTGTAAAGTTTTTTTCCTCTTCCTTTTGTATTCCGCTGTAACTTCCGAGCAGCTCTGGCGAGGGAGTTGAACTCCAGCCAGAGCTGTGCAAACCCTAAATCCTTTCTCTGTGTTGGCACAGAAGGGATCAGCGGCTTGGGATTTCAGAGCCTCCTGCAGGGATGGGTACTCCTCACATCGCCAGGAATCCGGGTCAAGTTTCAGTCATCTGGCAAAAGACATGAGACACTATTAACCTCAACAAATACACTGGGGAACGGTGGGATGGGAGGTTGGATAGCAGAAAGACCTTGAGGTCAGACCTGAAGAGATGAGACTAAACACCTCAGAACCAGAATCTACAGCAAGCAGGAGGAATACACAGAGCGCCTGCATAAGATCGCCCCCCCACCCAACCCCCTCACATGCTGAACAACATTATTTTTCTCTAAGGGGAAAATGAAATGCAAAACAAAACTTGCTTCAAAAAGTGCAGGCCAAGATGGCCAAGCTCATTCCCCAACAATGAGGAATGTCCTTTCTGGCCTCTGTTTCTATGATCATGCCACTGACGCCCAGGAGCCATACTGTCTGGCCAGAACACATCACAGAGCAGGAGGGGGAGACAGGGAGGGAGACAGACACAGGGCTTGTGTTTGTGTCTTACTGGACTAAATATTACCCAAATACCTGGAAAGAGGTTCAAAAGTATCATCAAAAACCACCTCTTGATTTCCTAAATACTCATGCAGGAAAGGTTCAAGACACAAATTGAAGTTTAGAACTTGTTTATCTTCCTTAAATGTAGTTTATGCTCAAAGAAAACATACTTTTGCACATCATCACTTCCCTCCTGCCAGCAGACGCCCTCCTTTTGCTCATTATGCATCTTTATAATTATGTTTTTCTGCAGCTGAAAATGACTTTTGAAAAGCTTTTTACATAGATAAGAAAAAATGTTAGAATAAGTTCAATCACTACGCTCTCATGGGTCGTACCTTGTTTGTGTTGGAAATGTGAGAAGCACTAGCTCCTGAGACAGACAGACAGCTGAGGAGGTTTTAACAATGACGACAAAAAGCTGCATCACTCAGTCGCTGCCGCTGCTGCTTTATGGAGCCTGGCGTCATTCAGTCTGCAACCTCAGATAGGCTAATTACCTAATGCTTTATCACCAGAACACCCCATCCCAAAAAAGTAAACACGCCAGCTTCCTTTTACTATCACTGCATCCAGTCATGATGCTGAGGCAAAACCCAGGTCCGGCTCTAGACTCTTTATTCTCACGCCTTGGCGGTCATCATAAACATGAAAAAAACCATCCAAAATCAACATTGTAATTCTTATTTCCAAAGTTTCATGAAATTCACGAGAAAACACGGGCAATTTATAATTTCGAAATATTGTATGTTATAAAGTATATTTAACCATATTTAACTGCACTTAATTATGAAAAAAGCGCACACACACACACTATATATATATATATATATATATATATATATATATATATATATATATATATATATATATATATATATATATATATATGTGTGTATGTATGTATATATATGTATGTATGTATATAACGACAACAATCTGATATTTCCCAAATATGTAAGTCTATAACATGTTATATTTTTCATAATAAATGTGAGACAGCTTTACCTTTGTTATGATAACAAGTGCGCAGCAGCGTCACCGTGTAGGCTTCCAGTCTGTAGAGGTTTGGACCGGTTCACTGAAGCTGTGTAGTGTAGGTGTGTTTGGGGGCGTGCGCGCGTGTGTTCAGTTGATTGTGTGCGCAAGCGTGTGCTATCGTTAAGAGAAAAATCTATTTCCGGTTGCTTATTTCAAAACAAAACATCCACTGAAACTTCGACGAATACTTTCTTTCCTTTCTGTGCTTCGAATTCAACCGAAGAGCTATCATTTGTTTTCAAATGTACTGGTAGTTTAATTTTTAAGAACTCATAGATTCGTGCTTTGATTAAACGCTTTGGACATCACCCGACATTAAGTTTATTGTGAATGTTCAGTTTTAGTAACTTCCGGTTTTGCGCTCTGTGTCGCATTGACGCAGGTTCGTGAAGCTCCGGCAGCCGAGCGCCACGCAGCCTCGGCGGCGTCAGCCTGGCTGGAACCGCAGCGCCTGAATGTTAAATCCCTCCGCCTTCCCTCTCTTGGAACTTTCCCAGGATTTCAGGTTTGTCAGGCAGCGCGCGCCACAGCGTGTGCATGTGCGCTGCACCTGATCCGTGGGCTCTCCGTTCACGGTACACCTCAAAAATGTCCCACCTGTTAATCTGACTTCCACTATTTTAGGAACGTTTCTAGAATAAATGTTATCAATTGATTGGAGTGTCAACTTTTTAAGACATATTAGGCGCAAATGTGCTAAAAGTGCATCCGTCACCTGCAATATTTACAATTTGTTATTAAACCGTGTAAATCATTTCAAGGATAATATGTATGCGCTACAGTAATGCACGTACAAACGCTGCACCTGTAAAATATGTATAAAAGTGCGCACTTCAAATTATCTTACTATTGGAAACGAGTTCACCATTTCTGTCATTTTTCATAATTCCTCATTAATAAATCTTGGTTTTGTTGGAGCCACGCAGAGCCCTTTCTCATTGCGGATGGATATTGGGAGTGCAGTGACAGGTCCAGTTAATGACGCAGCCTCTGCTGGCGACAGCGAGTCTACAAGTTTGACATTTTCACAGTTTACAGCAACTGCTGCGGGACGTAACCGTCCTGCCTGCAGAGGCAAACCACTCCAGGGACCCGTCAGTAACACTTTTCTCTCACCTTCAGTGTAGAGAATAAAACCTCACCTGTATCCAACAAGCCAGGTTCCTTGCGGCCAAACTGGGGGAGCATTAAAACAAAACAAATTCCGGACACAGGAAGGAGGAAAATAATGTGCAGATGATGCTGATCCACTGTCTGGTCCTGGACTGCAGACAGGAGGGACACCAACAGGATGCGCTCTCCGGGGGCTCCTCCAGGCCCCAGAGACAAAGCACAACTTAAACCCCATAATAAAACACAATTAATGTTCATTTGCTCAAACCACAACAACACTTACCGGGATGGTTCCAAGATGTCCATTTGATAATTGAAAGACAGAGGGATAAATATTGTGTTAAATGATTTCATCCTGAATATATTAGGTCAAATGAGAAAAACAAATAGCGGCTTAATTCCTCTTATTAATTTTCATGATTAAATTCCTAAAAATAATCTTAAAATTGAGTTAGATTAAGATTCTACTTAATTCAGTCATGTGCTGTCACATTGGGCACTATGGCAAGAATCTGGCCGTACGATCTTTACCACAGCACCGGGGTGTATCGTGATACTTGATATTTGTCATTTTTCATACCGAGTTTAACTGGAATACTCAAAAGCTTCCAAGTCACATCCAGTTATTGAAAGATCTCGTTCAGAAAGGCCTGCTGCCACCTAGATGGAGTTTGAATTGTAGCACACAAAACAACAAGTTTGTGTAAACTCATAAAAAAAACTCAATACGTTGATTCAGTATCATAACTAAATATACCCCAATATTTTCCTCCATCTCTATTGGGTACTAAATGAGCTAATTTCACTACATCGAGAAGTTGAAAATGGCGGATTGGCTTCGTTTAGCTGGAAGCCCATGACCATACTTGGCAGTTACTCTGACCAAACAGAAAACAAAAATGTAATGAAAAATGTGACCAAACCTTTATACTCAAACTTCTAAATAACACTTGAAGTGACTAATTTTTTTACACACCTAGAGGTGCACAACACACTGTAAGGGCTAAAAAAGGTGGATTTTCCAACTGTCCTCTTTAAGAAAATAATGATATTGCTTGTAACCACTTCAGCCTAAGTCTTCGTCTTCGTCTTCCTCCGCTTATCCGGGTCACGGGGGCAGCATCCCAATTAGGGAGCTCCAGGCCGTCCTCTCCCCGGCCTTGTCCACCAGCTCCTCCGGCAGGACCCCAAGGCGTTCCCGGACCAGATTGGAGATGTAACCTCTCCAACGTGTCCTGGGTCGACCCGGGGGCCTTCTGCCGGCAGGACATGCCCGAAACACCTCCCACGGGGAGGCGTCCAGGAGGCATCCTGACCAGATGCCCAAACCACCTCAACTGGCTCCTTTCGATCCGGAGGAGCAGCGGTTCTACTCCGAGTCCCTCCCGAATGTCCGAGCTCCTCACCCTATCTCTAAGGCTGAGCCCGGCCACCCTACGGAGGAAACTCATTTCGGCCGCTTGTATCCGCGATCTCGTTCTTTCGGTCATTACCCAAAGCTCATGACCATAGGTGAGGATTGGGACGTAGATCGACCGGTAAATCGAGAGCCTGGCTTTCTGGCTCAACTCCCTCTTCCCCACGACAGATCGGCTCAGCGTCCGCATCACTGCAGACGCCGAACCAATCCGCCTGTCGATCTCCCGATCCCTCCTACCCTCACTCGTGAACAAGACCCCGAGATACTTAAACTCCTCCACTTGAGGTAGGACCTCTCCCCCGACCCGGAGGTGGCAAGCCACCCTTTTCCGGTCGAGAACCATGGTCTCAGATTTGGAGGTGCTGATCCTCATCCCAGCCGCTTCACATTCGGCCGCGAACCTACCCAGCAAGAGCTGAAGGTAAGAGCTGGATGAAGCTAGGAGGACCACATCATCCGCAAAAAGCAGAGACGAGATTCTCCTGCCACCAAACTCGACACACTCCACACCACGGCTGCGTCTAGAAATTCTGTCCATAAAAGTGATGAACAGAACCGGTGACAAAGGGCAGCCCTGGCGGAGTCCAACCCTCACTGGGAACAGGTCCGACTTACTACCGGCTATGCGGACCAAACTCACGCTCCTCTGGTAAAGGGACTGAATGGCCCTTAACAGAAAGCCACCCACCCCATACTCCTGGAGCGTCCCCCACAGGGTGCCCCTGGGGACACGGTCATAAGCCTTCTCCAAATCCACAAAGCACATGTGGATTGGTTGGGCAAACTCCCATGCCCCCTCCATCACCCTTGCAAGGGTATAGAGCTGGTCCACAGTTCCACGGCCAGGACGAAAACCACATTGCTCCTCCTCAATCTGAGATTCAACTATCGATCGGACCCTCCTCTCCAGTACCTTGGCGTAGACCTTTCCAGGGAGGCTGAGGAGTGTGATCCCCCTATAGTTGGAACACACCCTCAGGTCACCCTTCTTAAAGATGGGGACCACCACCCCGGTCTGCCACTCCCTAGGAACTGCCCCCGATGACCACGCAATGTTGCAGAGACGTGTCAACCATGACAGCCCTACAACATCCATAGCCTTCAGATACCCAGGACGAACCTCATCCGCCCCCGGGGCTCCGCCGCTGTGTAGTTGTTTGACTACCTCAGCAACTTCTGCCCCCGAGATCGGACAGTCCATCCCCAGGCCTCCCAGCTCTGGTTCCTCCTCGGAATGCGCATTGGTGGGATTGAGGAGCTCCTCAAAGTATTCCTTCCACCGTCCGACTATAGCCTCAGTTGACGTCAGCAGCTCCCCATCCCCACTGTAAACAGTGTGAGCGAGTTGCTGCCTTCCTCTCCTGAGGCGCCGGACAGTTTGCCAGAACCTCTTTGGAGCCGATCGATAGTCTTTCTCCATGGCCTCACCAAACTCCTCCCACGCCCGAGATTTTGCCTCGGCAACTGCCACTGCTGCACCCCGCTTGGCTATCCGGTACCTGTCTGCTGCCTCCGGAGACCCACAGACCAGCCACGCCCTGTAGGCCTCCTTCTTCAGCCTGACGGCTCCCCGAACCTCTGGTGTCCACCAGCGGGTACGGGGGTTGCCACCACGACTGGCACCGGCCACCTTACGACCACAGCTAGCAACAGCCGCCTCGACAATCGCAGAGTGGAACAAGGCCCACTCGGACTCAATGTCCCCCACTGCTCTCGGGACGTGGTCAAAGCTCTGCCGGAGGTGGGAGTTGAAGACCGTCTTGACAGGTTCTTCTGCCAGGCGTTCCCAGCAGACCCTCACTATGCGTTTGGGTCTGCCAGGTCTACGCGGCATGTTCCCTTGCCATCTGATCCAACTCACCACCAGGTGGTGATCAGTTGACAGCTCCGCCCCTCTCTTCACTCGGGTGTCCAAAACATACGGCCGCAGGTCAGATGATACGACTACAAAATCTATCATCGACCTGTGACCTAGGCTGCCCTGGTACCAAGTGTACCGGTGGGCATCCTTATGTTCGAACATGGTGTTCGTTATGGCCAAACTGCGGCTTGCACAGAAGTCCAATAACAAAACACCGCTCGAGTTCAGATTAGGTGGGCCGTTCCTCCCAATCACACCCCTCCAGGTCAAGCTGTCATTGCCCACGTGAGCATTGAAGTCCCCCAGCAGGACAATGGAGTCCCCTGATGGAGCACTATCTAGCACTCGTCCCAGGGACTCCAAAAAGGGTGGGTACTCTGAACTGATATTTGGCCCATAAGCACAAACAACAGTCAGGACCCGTTCCCCGACCCGAAGGCGCAAGGAAGCTACCCTCTTGTCCCCCGGGGTAAACCCCAACACACAGGCAGAGAGTCTCGGGGCTAACAAAAAGCCAACCCCAGCCCTCCGCCTCTCACCCGGAGCAACTTCAGCAAAGTAGAGTGTCCAACCCCTCTCCAGGTCTCGGGTTCCAGAGCCAATGCAATGTAGCGAGGTGAGTCCGACTATATCTAGCCGGTACCGCTCAACCTCTGCTACAAGCTCCGGCTCCTTCCCCGCCAGCGAGGTGACGTTCCATGTCCCAAAAACTAGTTTTCTTGTCCGGGGATTGGACCGCCAAGGCTCCCGCCTTGGTCTGCCACCCGATTCGCATTGCACCGGACCCTTCATGTTCCTCCTGCGGGTGGTGGGTCCACAGTTGGACGAGCCCATGTATCCGGTTCGGGCTGGGCCCGGCCGGGCCCCATGGGCGAAAGCCCGGCCACCAGGCGCTCGCTCACGGGCCCCAACCCCAGGCCTGGCTCCAGGGTGGGACCCCGGTAACCCTCCGGGCCGGGTACTCCGACTCTTCGTTTTAATCGCCATGAAAGATCCTTCGAACCGTTCTTTGTCTCACCCTTCACCTAAGACCAATTTGTCATGGGAGACCCTACCAGGGGCACTAAGTGCCCCAGACAACATAGCTCCTAGGATCATTAGGGCACTCAAACTCCTCCACCACGATAAGGTGACGGTTCAAGGAGGAGCCTAATCCAGCCTAAGTGTTAAATAAAAAGAAGACGATGTGTGTAACACGTTTACCATCCCTCTACGGTCTGACTCATGCTAAACAGGGATCGCACTTATGGAGATGGCTTCTTTACATCTTGTTCTAATTTTATGAATCAAGCGACAAACACCTCATTAGAACACCTGAGGGGAAAACTACCAAAAACATACTGAAAGAAAACTAAATAAACTACGGCTGTTTGGATAAAGGCTGGATGATTTTTAAATCAAATGCCAAAAACTTTTATTTTTGTCTCCAGGTTTTCAGCACATTAACATTCCCTCCAAAACAAAAACCCCTCCCCTTTGAAAACAACCAACTATGTTGCTCACTCATCATTTGAATCAGATCCATCATCTCATCCACAGCTGATTGGGCCCAATGTAAGCAAAATACACAATCGGTCGTACAGACATTGTGTAAACTGTTGTATGTGTAACAGTGGCTCTAAAGAGCCAGCAGAATCCACATAAAAAGGCAGGAATCCACAACTGTGCCGGCACTTTCCTTCCAACGATGTCTGGAAAAGGAAAATAATAAAAATAAAAGAAAATTTGCTTTTTCAGATGATTACAGCGAACAACCGACACAGTCAGAATCCCACGGTGAAAGGCTTTTTGGCCCTACAGCAGCTCCTCTCAGTGACACAAGAGCTTCTCTGATTGGTTAATCAGATTTGTGAGGCGACTGCAGCTTCCAGGCTCCGGTGATGTAGCGCAGGCGGATGAAAATCAGGTCCAATCCCATCTGCAGCCAGCTCCAGAACGGGACCAGCTTGGATCCTGGTATAGAAACAAACCACAGCATTTTCAGTCTAATCCTTTATGAGATAAAACACAATAAATAACAGTTTTCAGACCATTTTAAGGAAGCTACAAGAAAATCTTCAAGCTACAAAGACGTTCATTAAAAGGCTGATTAAGCAGCAGCAAACACACCTAATACATTTATTTATTGTCTTTTTTTTTTCTCCCGTGTCCTGTCTGGCTGTGAAGCAAACTGAATTAATGTCTGAATGCTGGTGACAAGCCTTACAGATTTACTCTCATCAAAGCTTCTGCTTTTAATGTCACGCCTGATACTTAAAACTTTGTTATTGTCTTTTAACACTTGTAATTCCGACCAGACACGGAGACAGAGGTGAAAGAGAAAGGAAGAGACAAAAAAGGAGGTGGTGGTGGTTGGGGGGGGGGGGGGGGGTCCACAAAAATAAACAATCAATGATGAACAAGATTCTGCTTCTAGACCTGCAGAACAGATACACAACAATACATCAGGAGCAAGCTGTCACTGCGTCAACTTGATGAGGAAATATAAAATCAACATTGTTTTACTGAACAATCACGATAATAAATCACAGTGCATTTAGTGCCAACCACAGCCTTAAGACATGTTGAACGTGCCCAAGCCCATACTTATGAGAGCACCATGTGAGCACCTGTGTGTGTGTGTACACGCGCTTGTTTATGTAAGGTTTCACTATCGGAGCGTCCAATAGAGAGTGTGAGGGACCACAGATCTGCCCCCCAAAGATGCGAAGGAGATGGAAGGAGCTCCAAGTCCCAGAGATCCAGGGGCTGTCCCAGAGCACAGGGACCTCACAGAGACTGCAACCTGAAAAGCCCCTGCCCTCCTCGAGAGGCGCAGAGGATTGCCCCGGGGGGCCACAACCGGCAGAGTCTCGGGCGATATCAGCGGCAAGCCCACAGGCCTGCCCGCAGCCTCCCACCCCCTAGCCGGCCGAGCCCGGGACCCAGCGGCGACCTAACACATTTATACAACAGTTAGATGGTGCAGTGAAAGGACACCAACCTTCTATTTCAGTCCAGTTGACTGCCACCTCTGTTATGGGGATTTTAAAACACTGGGCGATGAACAGGAGCTCCACATCAAAGGCCCTGAGAGAGAAGAAGAAAGTTCCCATCCGATGTTCAGAAGCTGCAAATAAATTAGCATCAATTCCACTTCCAACTGAGCTTCACGCAGACATATCGCTGTCACAATAATAAAACTATAATTCCTGCAGCTAACACACCAATTTACCGTGCTGCAGTTCCTTACCATCGCTCCACATGGAGAGAGGAGAAGGACTTGAGCGCAGCCTCGCGTGTAAAGAGCTTGAAGCCACACTGAGTGTCCCGGATCCCCCTCACGCAGAGGAACCAGACCAGGAAGTGGAAGCCGTACATGAGGAATGTACGAAACACGGATCGCTAATGACAAATATTTTTTTTCGGGTAAAAAGAAACCATAGTACAATCATCTAGAAGAAGAAAGGAAAAGTTACCTGAGCGACTGACTCCTGCTCCAGGTGAGCTCTAGAACCACAGGAAATGGCCAAGTTCTCCTACATGAAAGAGGACAAACGTTAGCGTGTTTCGTCCGTGAAGCTGATGCACGAAGGCTAAACAAAAACACACCGGTCCACGATGGATGTCTTTTAGTCCAGCCTCTAGTTTTTCAATGTCAGAAAACTTTGTGGCTCCATCTGCATCTGCCATCAGAATCAGCTTCCCCCTGGAGCTCATAGTTCCCTGTAAGAGCACCGACACACATGTAACTAACAGCTGACCTCGCTGTGCTGCATCCACCTACAAGCTCACCATGCGCACAGCTCCACCTTTCCCTCTGTTCTTCACCAGCGTCAGGACACGGACTTTATCTGCACTGTACTTCCTCGTGTACCGCAGAGCAACCTGGGGAAAGAACAGCACAAAAAGATTTACTTACAAAACAACTTCGAACTGCAACGTGTCTAGATGAACAATAAAAAATAACTAAAGGGAACATGTTCCCTAACAAAGATTAAAATCATTACCTCTGTGGTTTTATCTCTGCTGCCATCATCAACCACAATGACCTCATAAGTGAAAGAAGGGTTTTGTTTCTGCAGTAATGCAATAGTGAGATTTGTAGTCAGCCAAGGGCATTTTTACACACCGTTACTGCCATCTAGTGGCAACAGCCAGAAATTAAAAACATTTCGAGCAATAAGTCATCCTTCAAAATGTTTGCAAACATTCAAGGCTCCCCGTGGCTCCAACTTCATTATGATTTCATTTAACAAGTTTGTTACTTACTTGTCTTTTTTCCAGATAATCCATAGCTTCATCCATCATCACAGGCACTACAATAAAACACAGTAACATAAATCCAAGTGCCTACAACACTGATATAACAGAGCAGGATTCTGTGATCAAACAAAACCAATTAGGCTGGTTGGTAATTAAAATTGCATTAATAATGATTTATTTTTTTTAAATTTAATGAAGTTTTATAATTAGAATGAACTAGGGCTGCACGATATTAGGACAACCTGCAATATGTGATAACAGTGATTAATATTGCGATGACGATATTACTTCTGATATATAAAAACTTAACTCAGGAACAAAAACAATCAAAAACAAAGAAATTAAAAAATGACAAAAAAAATCATAAAAATGAGAAAAGCAAAAGATGTGAGGAAAGGGAAAAAGAAAATTAACAAGAAAAGGCAATCAGTGGATCCCGGGAAAAGCAGAAAGAGCAGAACAAAGCTAACTCAGGTGTTTGCTAACCATCAAAATTAAGTGCCGTACGCCTCGGGGGCGGGCATCTCACCTATGAGAACCCACCCGATTGGGTGAAGAGCTCTATTTGACTTGTTAAAAAAAACATCATGCATCCGTTTGACTGACAGAATGCATTATGTGTAGCAAACATTTGAGCTGACCATTCATTACGATATTTATCTGTTCTTTGTGATATGCATATTGCGCATGCCGATATCGTGATAACGATATATTTGCGATGTATTGTGCAGCCCTAGGATGAATTAAAATAATGAAATCTCAGTCGGTCATTTTTTCATTCAACTGTTTCTGACCAAAATCCAGGCATTACTCACTTCGGAGCTCCTCATTGTAAGCAGGAACCACCACAGACAGATCCCTGGAGCTGGGATCGTGAAGGCTTGGGAAGAGCTCCTTCTCTCCTGAGGCTGTGAGGAAATATTTCTCCTTCTCGTGGCGCCTCAAGTTCACCATCCCAGCAGTCACGTGTGCTATTATCACCACCTGAGAAGAAATGTAAGAAAATACCTGACTTTGTATATCAACATGTCAGGCTTTTAGTTAAATTCAAATTGTGTTAAGAATCAATATGAATTAGATTAATAGAAAACAGCTGTGAAAGCATTCAGTAACTAGAATGTTATAATCTGTTGCTGAACTGTAACATGTCAGAAATAATAGACTACTTTCTGTTTTTTAATGCTATATTATACTTATAATGATGTAGCATCAATAACAAGTATAAAGTCCAGACACACTGATACAGAAATGTTAAAAGAAAAAGTGAAGAGAAGTCGCAATTTACAGGAAAATAATAGAAAACAGAAATTTTGCAGATCCTGTATCTGCTTTCTAAGATGATAACAGCTTTTTATAAACGCCACATCTGACTCACCACAATCAAACTTAAAGCTGCTAATGCGACGAGAGCTTGAACTATTTCACAGAGAAACTCCATTATTTGATTAAATCGCTATTGAGCTGCAGGGGAGACCACCTTTTCAGGTAGCTAGCTGAAACGCTAGCTTGTTTTTCTTCTTGTTTGGCTTCGTAGCTTCTTGTCGGTGGCCTTTACCTCTCTTTACACATATAAAAAATGAAAAGGCAACAATATGTTGGCGAAGAAAACATAAAATCCCCTTACTCCATTACTCAGTGTGCAGTTCACTGAACTCCCCTTCCAATCACAACTGCACACAGCGGTAACACGGAAGTAACGCGTAGACACATCATCATTTGAAGCGTGTTCAAGTGTGGAGAGACGTACACTGACCCCTTGCGGTCGGGAGTGGGACTAAGCAATAACTTGCATGTGCAAGGTGCTAAAAAATACTTATTTTACCTGAAACTTGAAAAAAGTTAATAATTTATATTTAGCAACACTTTACGGAAGAGGATTAGGGCCACTGAAAAGAAGACAAAAAGTAAGAATTCTGCCTTTTTTATGGGAAGCAGCTTCAATGACAGAGATGTGAGTTGAGCAGGATGACGGCTAACTTTCATGTTGGATTTAAATGATAAATGACCCGCACTTGTATAGCACTTCAAACACACTTTAGGCGACTTTTTACATGACCGAGGCCGAGGGGGTCAATGAATATGCCATTTCCTTAAAGCTGCATTGACAAATTTGAAAAAATAAAATTGCTTAATCATTTTTCTCATGCCTCTTAACGTTCTAAATATTGTGGAGATTTAAAAAAATTAATGAAGCGGCCCTCTTGCATTTGTCTCAAAAGCTCTGCCATTGACTCTTTTTGGACCAAAAGCAACCATTAAATCATCTTGTTGTCGAGCTCGCAGAGCCGCCACACTTCCCTAGCTTTTCCACTCATTACACACTTCCGTATTTTGTAACAAAACACCCCTGGAGAGGTTCACAGCTGATTAGATCTAGAAAGCTGCAACTGGTGTTAAGCACTGTTTTGTTTCATCCGGCATCACGAGTTGCCAGTTCCTGCAGGGGAGGAGTGTGTATTGTGACAGTGTTTTTTTTTCTCAAAACCCAGCTTACTAACAGATTTGTTATAACAGCTTTGATAGAATAACAGAAGGTGAGTAATGCAAGAGAACTAAGTTATTTTCTACAGGGCTGCCAACTTGTGATGGTTTCCATGCACGAGGAGGTGTGTGAAAGGGGTCAGACACGTGTCTCACGCTCAATGGGAAGCTAAGTCACACCCATCTATTTCCGACCATGGGTCCCCAACAGGGCTGGACTGGGACAAAAAATCAGCCAGTTCGTTTTGAGCCGAGACCGGCCCACCAGCTAGTGAAGTTAAAAAGCAATGACGCCTATTTTTTACACCACCTCTCTAACCCTGGGCCTCGATATTCCATATCCATCATGTTTTACTTGTTTCCCTGCTCTAGCACAAAAACTGAGCTTATTTTGCTGCTTAATGCAACAAAACATCAACAGACCAAGACAATCTTCAGATATCTAACTGCTCGTTTGAGGTTGAGTAAAGAAAACAGTAAAGCAGAAAATAATCAGAAAACCGAGTTGCCATGCATGCACTGCTCACACACACACACACACACACACACACACACACACACACACACGCACGCACGCACGCACGCACGCACGCACGCACACACACACACACACACACACCAACATCAAAACACATGACTTGTTTAACAGTTTAATTTTGTATTTTAAAAGAATGATCCAAACCATTCTAACTAAAAAGTTCAGTTTGAAGACATAAGAGAATCCACAATTTTGCTCTGGATTGTTCGGTTAGGAAAGAGGAGTTTGTAAGGAATATTTATTCACTGTCAATTGTTTAAACACTACAATATTGTTTGTTTAGCAAATTAATATATCGAGTTTTATTTAATCTTTATTAATTGTGACCGGTTATCAATTTGAAAATTTTATTGACCTTACAACACCAACTCATTTTTGAAAAAGACGAATTTGTTGGCCAGTTTTTCGTTCATTTCCGAACTCCAGTCCAGTTGGTGGCGGTAATGCACACTTGTCGTTGGTAATCACAGTTTCGTCGCGGCCACCGTAGTTCACGTGGGTAATCAAAACATCATGGCGGCTGGTTTCAAGTAAGTCATTTTTAACATGTATTTTTCTTTATATTCAGACTTTGATTTTCATCAAATATATATCATCGATATATTTAATGTTCAGTGTTATATCTAAATTTAGTTTGCTTGTCAAAAAATACAGAAACAACATTTCTGTGACGTCAGTTGGGCTAGTGACGGGATAGTACACTTTATTTGTTAGATTTATCGGTCTGCTGTTTATTGCAGGATCGCACGTGTTTGTTACTAATTTGTCTTATTTCATTTCTTTAAACGTTCAGGACGGCGGAGCCTCTGGAGTATCACAGGAGCTTTTTGGTTCGTCAAATACATACAAACTATACCCAGTAGAAACCCATAAATGTTATTATTATTGTTATTAGTGTCATTGTAATTGCAAATGCTTCATTTGCAGAAAGAAAATTGTAGACCTGATGGGCGGGAGTTGTCTGAATTTAGAAGTACAACCTTAAACATTGGTAAGAAAATAAATTAAATGTTTCCTCCCTGTAATAAAACATAATTTTAGATATGATGTAAATAAAATAATATGTACTTCTAATACAAAATGAGTCGGCTCATATTTTTTCAACTCCAACATTTTCCAGTGCCTAAAGGGCTGATCACTGCCAGCTGTAACAGTTTTTACTTATTTTCTGTTCAGGGTCTATTTCCACTGCAGACGGCTCCGCTCTGGTAAAGCTGGGAAACACCACGATCATCTGTGGCATCAAAGCGGTACTGGTGCACAATGACTCAAACTGCTACTGCTAAGATTTCTTTAGGTGTTAAAGTCATGTGTTCGTATGCAGGAGCTGACTAACCCTACTGTGGATGCACCTGGTAAAGGTTACATAGGTAAGTTCTGAACACATTTTACAGCCTCCTTGTTTCCATCAGGTTTTCATTGCTTAATTCTTTATCTCGTATTTTCTGTTTGATTCTGTATTTTATTATGACATCATCATCTGTCTATATATGTTTTAAAAAAGTGCCCAATGTAGACCTGCCACCCCTGTGTTCGTCCCGCTTCCGACCAGGCCCACCAGGGGAACAGGCTCAGGCTGCCAGCCAGTTCATCGCTGATATCATTGAGAGGTGTGTTAAGCCTTCAAACACCTTTAGTTTCCAGCTGTAGTGTTTCTGCCACTGCTTTGACTTAACCTTCATGTGTCGTGCAGCTCTGAGGTGATCAAGAAAGAAGACTTGTGCATTGGCCGAGGAAAGGTGATTTTAGACTCATGTGTGGACTTTACTTGTTGTAATATATTCAATCATAATTCTGCTAAATCTTGTTGCAGCTCTGCTGGGTCCTCTACTGTGACATCATGTGTCTCGACTATGACGGGAACATCCTAGATGCTTGTGTTGTCGCCCTTCTGGCTGCCCTGAAAACCAGTAAGTAGGGTAGAGACTTTACTGAAACGGTGCATGTAATAAAAAACATAAATCTATCTTTTAGTAATCTTTCCCTGCAGCACAACTCCCAGAAGTCACCATCAACAAAGAGACGTCCGCCCCGGAGGTGAATTTTGAAAAGAAACACAAACTTAGTATTCACCGACATCCAGTCAGCGTCTCCTTTTGCATCTTTGATGAGTACGTTTGTTTGATTTCAATTCAATTTTTATTTTAGGTACAAGTGCCATTTTGTTCTTATTTAAGCCTTTTTGGTTTTTCCTGTGCAGCTCCATACTGATCGTAGACCCCACCGCCGAGGAGGAGAGCCTGTCGACGGCACGCCTCACTGTGGTGATGGATGAGGAAGATCAGCTGTGCTCCTTACATAAACCAGGTCAGAGATGGCACATCTGTGATCTTTAGATTTGTGATGCTTCTGCCATGAAATAAAGCTTCAGATTATTTTGAGTATGAAAGAAAACGGGCATAAAAGGCTCTGCAAACTTTGCCTCCAGGTGGAACGCCGCTGTCGGGAGAGAAGCTGCAGGAGTGCATCAAAAGAGCAACGGCACGAAAGGGAGAGATCCACAAACTTATTGAGAAAGTCATAAAAAGCATGAAGACGGCTCAATAAATACACTCAGACAACATTTTTTATCTAAAAGTTGTATTTTCCACTGTCAATATATATTCTTTTTTAATAACAATAAAACTGCTGACAAAGACTTAAAAAAATTATCTTTTCAGTGTCCAGAAATGTCTCACGCACACTTAGCTGATGTCTTAATTCATGTAAGAATATGCTCATGGCTCCTTGTTAAAAGGTAACACCTTTTGAAAATCTGCTGTACAAACGCACGCCGTCTTGCATGATGACTCTGAGTCCTCGTGTGAGCCCTGTGCCGGAATACTCCCCAAGATCAGATTTGCATTTTCACGTCGTGGACACGTGGACGGCTTGGTGTTGCTAATCTGTGCTTAAAGGGCAGCCTCATGCGAAATTCTCTTTAAAATGTCCTCTCACTCCACAGGGCCTCGGCAGAGAAAAGTCTTCCGAAAGTAGAAATATGTAACCGTGGAAGCTCGTTACCTACAAGACCCGTCTTCTTCTTGATCATCTGAAAAAAAATATCACCAAGGCTCTTAGAGCTTCGGGCTTCCTGCTGTAGAAACCAGTTCCCCCACAGTGGACAAAGGTTTGGTTTTCAGAAAACATCTGAGAACCAAATCATAAAAATTTTTCTGTTAGAAAAAAAGTCTTTTTTTATTTGTTTTTACTGCCATCTCCAAAGCGAGGCAGACAATGAGCACAGTATCGATCATTCATGTCCTTGTGCAGCCGGGGGAGGGGCTTTAGTGTGACCCCAGTCTGCTATGATTTAGGGTGAGGCTGCGGCGTGCTCCGTTTCCTCTTACTTCTTGGTTGACTGGCGGTATGTTGCCGTGGCGCTCCCCCCAGAGGAGCTGCTGCTCCCATAGCCATTTGCTGCTGCTGCATTTGGTGCTGCAAGAATTGCAACTGTTCAGTAAAAGAGGAAAAAAAAAGACATTTTAGGTGATTTTTCCACAATTCCTATTCCTTAAATCTAAGTAAAGTCAGAGTTTAATGCATGAAACCATCTCTTGCATTGTTAACATTAACAGGTGCGGGTGTTAAACGGACTCTGTCGCAGAAATAGGAATGATATTCTGTGGCGTATATTAGTGGAAGTGAGCTAAATGCTGAACTAAAAAAAATCGAGGAGTTTATAGAGGACATATAGAAGAGAAGTTAATGGCTTGCAGAGGGAAGGGAGAGGAAGTGTTGGGGAGTGAGTGAGGCAGGATGCAGTCAAGCAGCACCAGTGTCTCCTGAAGACACAGATTATTGTCTGTGGTCCCAGCAGAGACCAACATGCAGCCTAGCAACCATGCTTTCTGCTCAGAGAGGAAGTCAGCAGCTTTAACAGAACAAAACTTCAAAGACTCTGGATTCATGCCTGCAGCGGAACAGCTGATCACAAGATGCATTAGGAACCTATAAACTGAACAGAGCCAATAAGAATATTTACCATCATATGGCGAAAATGTGTGGAAGAACATGCCCGACTTTCAGTTTCAATGTTAGTTGCTGCCACTGGAAGTACCATATGTTTTCGTGTGTGTGTGTGTGTGTGTGTGTGTGTGTGTGTGTGTGTGTAACGAACTGGGGCTTTGGTGGACTTTATCAAAGTGTAGAACACAAATTAAGAAAAATATCACACAGAATGGTTTAGATAAAAATATATACGTGATGAGGAAGGGTCTGGTTAAGAATCAGACTGTAGATCCTAGTTTGAAACCTCAACAGTAAGTTTTATGAAGTGGGGTTGTGTGGAGTACTTATGAGAAATCTGTATTAAAAAAAAACAAAAGGAAAAAAAATGAATAAAGGGGTTCTCTCACATTCTTCTAAAAACCTCCACCAATAACATGCTTCGGACTGAAAGCAACTATTGGACCATCTGGTTGTCGGTCTCGCAGAACCACCGCACTTCCCTGGGTCCTCCATTCAAATCGCACTCGCGTGTCCAGCAACAGAACACCACTGGTGTGAGAGGTTTGTGGCTCAATAATATCAGAGGAGGAGAAACAGCCGGCTGCTACCACTTCAACTTTAAGACAAACTATCAGACTCTCTAAAAGAAAAAAACACCATTTGAAGTCACCATACCATACCAACTTTATCTATAAAGCACATTTAAAAACAGCATGGCAACCGACCAAAGTGCTGTCACGGACAACAAAAGACGTTTGGACCTAGAAAACGATGTCTGGTGTTTAGTGCTAGCTCGTTTCATCCAGCATCGTGTGTTTCCGGTTCTGACAGAAGCGTCTCTCGGAAGAGACCGAGGGTCGGCGTGAGTCTTCTGTGACCGTGTTTGTGTAAGAAACCAAGCTTGTTCTGTAGATTTGCTATAACAGCTTTAAGATGTAACTCATTTTTCCACCTCTAGGTGGTGCCCTCTAAGAAAAAAACTCCTGATTTCTGCGTCCTAATGTACCGTATTTTCCAGACTATAATCCGCTACTTTTCCCAGGCTTTGAACCATGCGGCTTGAAATGAGGTGCGGCTTTAGTCAACCAGAAAGGATGGATGCTGGAAAGTTTAATGAAGGAATGGTAAAAGGAGTGCTACGGAAAGCGCCCAGGAGGATTTTTTTTCACAGTAAAACAGCGCTGCTTGTTTTCCCAGCTTCTCCCTGGGAGGATGACAGCAACACGGAGAGCGACACTGACATGGCCACACTGGACTTCAGTGGTTTCAGTGTGCAGGAGGACGATGAATAAACTAATCAATAACTTTTCTGTTTTGTTTGATACTGATCAGTTCAGTTATGTTCAGTTAAACTACATTTTCAATTCAGTAGATATCTGCGGCTTTTAGCCCGGTGTGGCTTATATTGAGGTGCGCTCTATAGTCTGGAAATTACGGTACTTGTTTCTTCAAAGACTCCTGATACATACTCCACACAACCAGACATCAAAAAAATAAAACATCACACTAGTAAAACAAACAAAAACAGGTTTAAACAAGCCATTTTCACTGTTTATGTATAAAAAGTAGGGGTGGGACTTGATAAAATTTTTTAAAATCTAATTAACTCATTCACTGCCGACAAAAGTCCTCATTTTAAATCCAACCGTTCACTGCCATTGACGACTAAAGTTGTCATTTGCATTTTTTTGCTGTGTGGGCGTCGGAACGAGCCCCCGCACCGTGAGAACAAACATCTCAGCTCTAAAGCCGATCTTCATCCACGTACGTCACACGTCACATGATCAGGAAGCAGAAAATCCATGGGTTAGGAGATCGTTTTGGGCCGCTGCTGTAAAAATAGTGAGGCGTGAAAAGCTTCTGCCGATCACAATTCGACAACGGATTCTGCGAGACGGATAAAGCTCGAAATGCGTGGATTCTTCCTGATGTAAGAGGTGAGTCTACTCTTTGTTTTGGTAGTTTTGGCGTTGACATCATCATAGAGCGCAACGTTCTGTGACTCTTAAAAAACAGTAAAATTGATTTAAAACGCTGGCAGCGAAGGGCTTTTCTGATCAGGAAATGGCTGGCAGTGAATGAGTTAATTAGAGGCTTGGTAATTCTTAATTTCTGAAAAAAAAACTATGCTTTTTAATTATTTAAATATCACCGTGTTATATGAAACAAACCACCAATTAACACAATTTCATAATTGCAAGTAGAAAACACCCTGAGCCTTTAAACTGTCACTCAGTCTGGTTGAATTACTGAAATAAATGATCTTTTGGACCATATTCAAATTTTTTCAGTTTCACTTTTATGTATAATTGGGTGTTTTTATCAGCATTTCTATTACTCATAATCTAGTAAAAGCATATATTATGCTATCAATAAAAATCCTTATAAATGATACTAGACCAGGCACAAATCTGACAGAGGACTTAAGTTTACTAACTTGGGTCAGACCCAAACAAGGAATTCAGTGCTGAGGCTGGATAAAGACACAGTAAAGCCGGGCGTACACTGTGCGACTTTTTCACTTTTTTGAGCCGATTTTCCACTCGTGCGAGAATCCACGAGATCGGGGCGAGTTTTGCGCCGAGCGTCGTGTAGTGTACAGGGGGTTACGAGAGGCGATTAACACCACGTGACCAGCTACCGATCAGTAATCGTGAGCTCGCGCAAACTTCTGGCGTGTTTAATATTTTGCTCGTCCCTCGTGAGGGTATCGCACTGTTGAAGCGGCGCTGCGAGCAACTGCGACCCAAAAAGTACCAGAACCGCTCACGGCGCATGCGCAATCCTGCATCAATACCGCTCGCCCGCTATTTCCCTAATAACACACGTTGTTCGTTTTTGTTTCTACATGTTTTTTTACTCACAAAGATTGTCAAGAAGGCGTGTTTGTCGTGTTCATGTCAAATTAAACTGATCACAAAACACAGATTTACTTTCTTTATTTCGTTTTCCTCATCCAACCCCATAAGTCCCTGTGTGTCCTCCTGCAGCACTCCTGAAGGACAATAGGCAAAACAAGACAAAAAAGTCTGCCGTGTTGAGTAAAAACTGCTATTTTTAGCATATTTTTAGGGCCGACGTGTTGCTACCAGACGTACAGTGTGAGCAGTCAGGTCGCATCCGATGACTGGGTCGTGCAGTTTGAGCACATGACTCGTGAGATCTGCTCTGCGAGGAAGTCGTACAGTTTGAGCTGAAACTGAGTGCTACAAGTGAAAAAGTCGCACAGTGAACGCCCGGCTTTAGGAATTAATGACGACATCATTCCTTACATGGGAAGTCCCACCCTCACACCAAAAAGGGTATAGCTGCAGTTTCACGCCCGCAGCAGCAAATCTGCGGGTCTCCAGGTCTGCGACCTGATCCCATCTTCCTTGTTCCTCACTGGCCCTGCATGTAAACATTCGCCCCTTTAGCTCCGATCGGCTGACGACCCCTTCGACACACTTCCCGGCTGAATTAAAGTAATGTACGTAATGCATAGACAGTCACTCATAAAAATATAGTAAACCGACAGAATTGTTTAGAAAATGATAATAAAGTTTTAGGAGTGATACTGTTGCTTTAAAACACGTTGTTTGACTGTTTAGATTAGTGAGAACTCGAGCATTTGCCCAGCTGTTCGTCACAGTGTTCAGCTTCTGCAACATTTTATTTTTTTGTGTAAATGGATGTCAATGTTGCTGTATTACTTGGATCTGTGGCTGGTGCTGCTGCTGAAGCCTTGAAGAAGGCAGCGGGGGCCCAGACCCGTCCAGCCCACAGCCCAACTGGGACAGCACTACGGGGAGGGAAGGAGGGAGGGAGGGAGGGAGGATGTCCCAGAAGGATGGGTGTGATGGCAAAGGGGACAAGCAGAAAGGATGGAGTAAAGCATGAAGAGAAGGTAAGCACAAGAATAGATTGATACGAATGAAGGGGGAAATGGGGGTGGTGGACTTAGGCATAACCACACAGGCATGAGATGAAACAAAGAGTGACAGAAATGTGCACAAATTAGGGACAAAGAGAAAAGGTGTGAAAGATCAGAATGTTGAGGAAGAGGAAAGAAGCATGGGGTAAAGAAAGAAGGGTGGGGCAAAAAGAAAAGAAAAGAAAAGAGAATGTAGCAGAGAAGAGGGGGAAAGTTGAGTCTCTCCTGTCAGTGTTACAAGCCCCTTTGAGAGGAAGCAAAGCTAACTTTAGCAAGATTATCACGCTTTAGTCACATTTACAACAATGAATACTTTAGTAAATCTCATCTGATTAGTGAGTCAGTGGGATGTGTCATGTTGACACAATGCAGATTAAAGGAGCGAGTGGCTGTAACGTGGACTTGTGCACTGGTGTGAACCCTACCTGGTGCCTGAGGAGACATGAAGCCCCCGACCCCCAGGTTGATGACAGCGGTTTGCTGGTTTCCTAAACTCTGATCTGATCCTTGGTCGCTCTAAAGGGAAGATGAAACGCAACACAAACCATCAGAGCCCACACAGACCGACAGTCACACTGGGAGGTTTACGGGCACGGGTTTAGAGAACTAAATACAGTTTTTTGACTCTGGTCTTTACTGCAGGAATGTGTCTGAATGTCTCACCATCTCCCCCTGCTGCTGAGGACTGGATGTGGCTGACTGACTTTGCTGAGGGGAGAACTGGGACAGCTGCTGCTGCTGCAGAGAGTTAAAGATGTAAGGACCCGTGGGGATCTGTAGATGGACACACAACAAACAAAAAAGTGGAAGGAATAAAACAAGTGGTGGGGGTGAATGGTTGGTAGGAGGAAGGGCAGAGGGAAAGAAGTAATTAACACATAATGGACAGTAGAGAGGAAAGGAAATGGGAGTTAAAAGGTGCTCAAAACAGACCGCTATGGGGTAACATTTGTGCCAAAAAATACAGTCTAATTGAAAATATACCTTAATAAAAGTGTGAATTTCAAAAGCACAAAAATCACTAATGAACTAATTCATAAAAATATTTATATTTTAAAACAACATTTTTTTTTCATTAACACCTTTTTTTCTGTATTACTTAGACTATTTAGGGTTGGCTCGGCAGCATCCTTCTGGATCACTGAAAGAATCTCAGCTCCCTCCAGAGGAGGGGGACATCCTTTTGGGATACACACTCACCCTTGAACCATTAAGAAGTAACAAATAACTGAGTCTTTCCTGTTTCATTTAGCCTTCTTATCTACTTAATCCTGGTATGGTAAAATGCACAATAAGATCGCCGTTTATTCTCATTAATTAGGGAACCTATTCTATTTATACAGGTATCTTCTTCTGCAATATGTTTTGTTTTATTGTTTTATTTTGATCAACAATTTCCACATATAAAATTTAACTCATTTGTATTATCACAGTTTCTCAATTTATGTCATTTAGATATTGGCTCCGCCTATATGAAGAAGACCAATGAAATTTAGACTTTTTACATCCAGCCTCTGGACTAATCGCCTACACCTGTATATAATTGATGTGACAAACAACACCGATGTAATTCTGATGAAGATGCATTTGGCATCAAAATGCTAGATTAGCTTTTGGATTTTGAACTAATTAAAAACTTTACACACCTGAGTGCACCGGTGCAATGGATGACGCGCAGAGCACCGCATTTGACCCAGACTATTTATGCTTTTACTCTGAAGGGCATGCTTGGGTTCTACATACAGCACCTTGCTTTTGTTGCACCTGAATTCTGTTTCCGCTCTTCGTTTTTTGCTTTTGAAGGAAAGGGTCAGAGGACAGGGCACATCGGTGCTTCGATCTCATTGGTTATGAGGATTTGGCTCGAGTTGCTCATTATACTCAAACCCAACCTTTCTTGACTTTTGATTTGATGTCTTTGTTTCAGATTTTTTTTAATGGTTGCTTTATTTGGGTATATTTCTAATGAGACAGTATTTTTTGGTTGATTCTTTTAGCACAAATCTTATCTTGTACATTTCTTATGACCACAGACTCAGAAGCACAAAGATATGTGTCGGACCTAAGATTTTCTCGTTTATATCTGCTACTCTGTGCAATAGGTCTTAGAGCAAATTCAAATGCAGAGGACGGTACACATGTCTCAATGACTAATAATGCTGCAGGAAGGAATCCTTAAATTATGGACGCCACTCAACACTTCCACAAGTGGTGCTTGCAACATTTTAAGCAATGAGGTGAAGGAGGAGGACATATAAGCTACAACATCACGCTTGTGAGCATGCTCCTTACTAACTGAAGGAGAGGCATACCTGTAGAAGGTTCAGTGGTCTTAGCCCAGCACCGCTGTTCAGACCAAAATGACTCCCTGCAACACAACAGAAGACCCACATGCATCATTTAGAGTCAAGCACAAGATTTCAGATGAACATTTCTGTAGATTTTAGAAAAAAAACCCACAACAAACTTAAAGGGGCATTATGGAAGTTCGACAGCCAAAACATGTATAGAAATGATAAATTTCTTCTTCATACATTCTCCTGTAATGCCCTGGTCCTGTAGAATGAGCCCTGGCAATTTTACTGTGATTGCCTGTTTTTCTGTAAAATCACAGACAAAGAGAGCTGCTCGGGTCGAGCAGGCTGCTTCATGCGCCTTGACGCTCAAGCATAGCCATCCGAAACGTTCTTTGAACGTTGTTTCAGCTGTGATCAAGAATATAAATGTTACAGATACAAAAGACATCACTGGAGCTGTAGCTCATCTGGTAAGACGTCGGACTTTCGTGCGGACAACCCGGGTTTGATTCTGGATGTGAACATAATTATTTAGAGTTTCTTTTTTACATTAATGATATATTTTTTTTACAGTACGATGCCCACATTTTTATTTGAGACTCGCCGAATGGCATTGAATTCACAGATAAAAAAGATGTGGGTTCAACTTTCATTTTGGAACAATTTTTCAAGCAAGGGAAGGGAATGATCTGAGCATGCAGGAGGACTGACCCATCATAAACCTTTGTCGGCTGTGCTGAAGAGAAAGGTACAGAACCAAATTATTTAATTAATTAGCTGCGCCTTCTCCTGTCCTCTGGGCCACCCACCCACCCACACACACACACACACACACACAAGGGACTGTCTCAGCTGTTATTTTCGTTAAGGAGTGTGCACATACAGCATGCGCGCCTCGTGCACGAGCCTACTATTGAAGCTGCCGTTACGCTTTTGGCCTGAGGGGGCAATCGCGAGCATAAAAATTCAAAACTCCGTAAAGTCCCTTTAAGAAGAGAAACTATAAAAAAAACATGTAACCAAACATAAGTCACATAAAGACTAAAACCAGGCAGCTAACACTAATAAAAACATAAATAAAAGCATAAAATCTGAAAATATCAGCTAATAAGGTGCAGAAGCAATTCAGAGAGGAAACAGGCAGTGTTTTCTTACCGGTCGGGGCTGCAGACTGCATGGTGGGCATCAACCCTCCAGATGGAAGGATTCCACTCAGGTTAAGCCCAGTACCCAGCATGGGGCTGGAGCCGCTCATCAGAGTCTGAGGACTACTGCAGAAACATTTCCAAACCATCATGAAAAAGATTTGCTGCCTAGCGAGTGACAGCGGGTCATTAGAGACTCTTTCCTTACCAGACGGAGCTGACCACATTGATAAAATTCAGCCCAGCTGGGTTGGCCATGACCTGCGACGAGCTGGTTCCCGTGGTGATAGACGTGCCCATGGTGGGCAGAGGGATGGTCATGACAGGCAGGGGCTGGCTCAGAGCCAACTGCTGCTGGGCAAAAGGTGCAAGGAGGGGGGGTTGGGACTGGCTCTGGACGATGGCGGAGTCTGACGGAGTGGGGGTCACTGAGGGGGGAGCAGAGAGAGAGTCGGTGGGATGAGGGGTTGAGCACGGCGTGTTGGTGGGTGTGGGCGTAGAAGGCTTGGGCGTTCCTGATCCTAAATGGAAAAAAGAAAGGTTGGCCAAAAACAAACTCTAAATTTCTCTGGAAGTCAAATTCTCAAACGTTTTTTTTTCTGATTGGTCCCTGATGTTTCACACTCATTCCCATGTTTTTCGATTTTTCAACACCTGGGCTCCTGTCAGAGTAACTCATCAGAATTTTTAAAATAAATAAATAAAAAAGTAAAAGCTACATCTGGAAAACTTGGAGTCATGAGGAAAAACAGCACAGTGGAGCCAGGAGTAAGTCAGACTTGGCTGTACTCACTCTGCGTGGAGCCCATTGGAGAGAGGGAGGCAGGTGACAGCAGGCCCACCTGGCCCAGCTCCAGGGAGTGCTTCCTGCTCAGAGACTGGCTTTTGGCGGGAGGCGGCGGTGGCGTAGGACACTTGAGTAAACCACTGGTAGTTTGTGAACTCAAAAGATTACCTAAAAATTAAAATTTCACCATCATTTTCATCCTCGAGCAGGAAAAGAGCATGTTTAGTTCAATCCTTTAAAAAGATCTAAAACAGGAAGTTAACAGCCTGAGCTCGGTTGGTGATCAGGACTGGAAATAGCGTTGGTGTGTTTGTGTAAATATGACGTACCTGAGGAACTGCTGCCTGACCCTGAAGGCAGTTTAATGGGAGGGGGCCGGTGCTTCACCGATTTCCCGAGCACAGGCGTCTGTACGAGCGAAGAAATACCATCACCCTGCAAATGACGATGAGATAAATCACAATCAAGGCTTCCTATAATGTCAGAACAAGTCATTATGTGATGTTTCAGGCATCACTAACAACAGGAACACACCTCATCTTTGCTGGGGGAGGGAGGCCCTTGTCCTACGCTGCCTGAGTTATGGGACATCTTGACCTGACACTTCACATCTCTCTCATACACCTCTTTGTACTGAGTAAGAAACCTGAGATAACAAGAAAAATAACAGTATATGATGCTGGGTAGCAGCAAAACAACAGGATTAGCATGCAGACAAGTCAGTGCCAAACTCACTTCTCTGCATCGATCTTTGACCCAATGAGGAAACTGTAAAGGCAAAACAAGTCAGATCAAAACCAGCGTTTTAAACACTGTCGGGACTATGAAACATGTCTAGAAGGTCCGTACGGCGGATGAATGAGCTTCAGGTCGGTGCTGTCCTCCTCTGCTTTCCTGTCCTTTGCACAGTAGATCTTCCCGTACACCAGCGGGTCTCCTTTTGACTGGAAGATTGACACCTTGGTCTTTTGAGCTTGGCCTCCCACTTCACACTCAAACGTGTAGTCGTCTATGACTTCCTGTTGAAAGAAAGACGAGCAACGTTTTGTTTATTTCCCAAACTCATGAACAGATAAACGAGCCCTCCTCCTCCAGCAAATGGTTCTGTTTCTATATTCTAGATTTTTTTTGTGTTTCTGCTCGGAAATAAAAAAGCAGTTTTCAATTTTATACTTTTTATCTACTGCAAGTTTCTTTGAAGGGGGACATATTATGCAAAACTCACCATTTGCATCCTTGTGTGCTGTGTTAATTGAGTTACTAACAGATTGCTGAACATTTTATACACACACTTGCTGCTGGTTTCTGACAGACAGTGTTGGGAGTAATGCGGTACAAAGGTAATTAATTACTGTAATGCATTGCTTTTTGCTGCAATGTGGTAATGTAAGGCATTACAGGGAAATGGTTATATTTACTTGGTACAATTGTCAGTAACGCGGTAATTACAATGCATTTTTAAACCCAGAATCAAGATGAGTTTCTTAAAAATTCAAATTGTGGGAAACCCGAAAAAAGATCCAGTATCTACATATATGACGTCATTTATGGACTCAGCTTTGCGGGCAGAGAGGACGCAGCGGTAACGGCTCAAATACTCCAGCTGCGTCCTGCATGCGGCCGCTGTAACATTCACAAAATCGCTCCACTAAAACAAAATAATTCACTTGCGATCGTTCATATCAGCGCATGTTCTCTGGTATTTTGTACTTTTCTGACGTGCTTTGCCTCAGCTGAGTTCATTATCTGTGCCCCGATGATTTCAACTCATTGCTGCTGGAGCGCCGCGCATGTGAAGATCCCTTTGGCTGTTAGAAAGTAGGAAGCCTAGGAAACAGTTTTTTTGGAAGCCTGAGAAAAGATGCAGCATGCAGGACGGTTAGAGAGAGAAAGGGCAGGAAATTATTCTAATAAAATCAAGAAAACAAAACAGTGCTTGAAAAGAAAAAAGTAGGTAAATTTATCCCCAATACACATTTTTACCAGTGAAAAGCAACAATATGTAAGCATTTAATATTTATACATGTGATAGAATCAGATCACCCCAGAAGTCAGTCCCACATCCAGGGCCGTATCAAGGCATTTGGGGGACCAAGGCAAATATAGGCTTAGAGCCCCCACCACCTTACTCCCTGCTCAGTTAATATATGATGGCAGCGTACTGAGAGTACAGTTTGTTGTTGCTTTTATTTCATAAACAATCATTCTAAAGAACTGTTTTTAACAACAGTCCTATCTCAGACACCACATCACCTTCCACCGGATGTGTCATGAGTTCACCGGGCATCAGATTACCAAACTCATACTGAAGTTGTTTGGTTGAAAGTAACTTAGAGTAATGCAAAGGTAGTGTAATGCCTTACATTTTAAAATCAGTAATACTGTAATGTAATGAAGTACTTTAAAATGAGGGTAACAAGTAATAAATAATGGATTACAGTTTTGAAGTAACTTGCCCAACACTGCTGACAGACATCACTGATCCGTACCATGAGGGAGCACACGTGCTCCTGCCCAACCTACCTCAGCAGGCCAGATCATGGTTGTGTCTTGTAACTGCAAAGGCTTCTCAACAACAGCATACTTTTCCACCTAGTGAAAAAAATTAAAAAGCACAAAGCCAGAATGTTTTCAGAGGAGTCTGCCAGAAAACAAAACTATTCAGTTTTAAAGAAGTATCTAGTAAACACCCTGTTACTTACATCAATCTCCTTTGGAACAGTTAGTTGGCAGTTGTTCTGCTTCCACATGTCAACACACTGCAAGTGTTTTTGTTGAGAGGCAAGGATGACAGGATCAGAAAAAAAAAAGGATGGATGAGTCACATTGCAGAAGAGTCCAAACAGCCCTGAGAGCTTAACACTGGGGTGCGTAGTTTAAAACTACTTACATTTCCAACCTTTGATATTTTGAGGTCGATGCCAGGAGTGGGTTTCCTCTCCTTCCTCCGCTGTAGGTAGTCGTAAAGTCGTAGCTGTGGAGGCACGGGCAGTTGGGACAACTCCTGCTGCCTGTTCAGGGCAGCTCGAGAGTGCCTCTTAAAACACCTAGAACAAAAATAACAACTATGTATAAGATCAAAGTAGGGATTTAAGAAAATGTCAATATAACAACATATCGCAATATTTTTTCCTACGATTTTAGGGTTAGGGTTATTGATATTCAAAAACCATGTATCTAATTTTTGGAAGAATTCACAGTCAAACAGTTGTGTATTTTCTTTTTGTGTAATTCAAACGTCGACCACTAGTTGGCAGCAGTGTGCAATGGGGTTTGTTTCCACCATTGAAATGCAAATCCCTCTGTTATGGTTCAGATACCTCATTGTAGAGCTTTCCTGTGAAAGCATCATGATTATATGTGTGTGTTACAAATGTAGTGCCTTTCATAGCATTTGTGTATACTAAGCCGTAATTTGTTATGAGTAATTATTTATCATTCGTTTGAGTTTAGGTTCTTTATGTACGGTGAATGTTATAAGTTTGTTCATGATGTAGACATTTACTGCTTACCGTATATTGGCTTGCCTAACTTTAGCAGAGCCTAAGTTTTGTTTAGTCGCCTGATGGTCAGGGTTGAGATGCAGAGCTGGTGAGTAGTATAATTAGTTGTAATTAGGGCTGCATAATATATCGTAAATATATCGTTATCGTGATATCAGCATGCACAATATGCATATCGCAAAGAACAGATAAATATAACAATGAATGGTCAGCTTAAATGTTTGCTACACATAATGAATTCTGTCAATCAAACGAAGTATCATGTTTTTTTTAACAAATCAAATTGAGCTCTTCATTCATTTGGCCAATCGGGTGGGTTCTCATAGGTCAGAGTCCCGCCCCAGAGGTGAACGGCACATAATTTAGATGGTTGGCAAACACCTGAGCTAGCTTTGTTCTGCTCTTTTGCTGATTCTGCTTTTCCCGGGATCCACTGATCGCCTTTTCTTGTTTATTTTCTTTTTCCCTTCCCTCACATTTTTAGCTTTTCTCATTGTTTCTTTGATTTTTGTTCCTGAGTTAAGTTTATATTTATCGCAAGTAATATCGTCATCGCAATATTAATCATTGTTATCGAATATCGCAGGTTTTCCTAATATCGTGTAGCCCTAGTTATGTTTGTGATTTCCTTTGCTTATACGAGTGCCTGTGTGGATGTGTGTTTCATTACAGGTTTACAACCTAATCTCTAGTCGCTACCAATATTTGCTTTTAACTCACAAGTTAATTTGAGACATGAATTGAGGACGCAACTGTTGTGCTAAAAAAAAGGTAGCAAGACCTTTAGCTGCTACGGCAAAGCAAATGTTGTGTGTTGTCCTGTCGAACGTCAATAAAGGAGTGACCGTGATTGAGTTGTGTCTGCTATACTCTCACAGACACCCCTTTCAGTTGGGGACACCTTTCGCTATATCAGGTAGCTGAGAGGACAACTGAACACTCATGTTAAACATGTTAAGCTTCAGTTTGGACTGTTTATTCAATTTATACAACAAATTCAGAAAAAAATGCTAATAATGTCTGACTGAATGAATCGCGATATATCTTGTTATTGTATCGCCTCCCCTGTATCGAGATACGCATTGTATCACCAGAACATCACCAATACACATCCCTCGATCAAAGATTTTCTTGCTTTGACTGTTTATTTTAATTTTTATTCACAAATATCTCTTTAATTTTATATTTTAGTTCAAAGGGTTTTCCTAATGTAACTAAATATTATAGGAGTGTGTTTAGTACCGTTTCATAGAGCGAGTGTTCATTTTCTGTTTGTTGTAGAGCAGGCGGTTGGCTGTGCAAGTCACAGAAATGGAAGGGTCCAGGCACAGAGGTTCAGCTGTGGCCAAAATCAACTGACTCTCCAGCTGCAGTTTGTCATCCTGGAAGAGAAAGGAAAGGCATCAAAAGTGATTCAGGCTTAAAAGGTTTACGCCCAAAGAAAAATAAACTTTATAGTACACAGAGTAAACATGAATATAGATAACTGGATGTTTAGACTCTGGCCATTTAAAGCAAATTTGACAAAGAAGTTAGCTTACAATTTTTTTTCATGCCTCATAAAAACGTTCCAACATAGTATAGCTAAAAAGATTCACATCTTTAAATGGATACTTTGCTTTTACCACCCCCTAGTGTCAGTCAAACCAAAAGTAAAACCTATCTGCTCGCCATGCCTTCGTCTTTTTAACACTTTAATTGAACTGCTGAAATGTCTCCACAGCCTTGATTAGTTTCTACAGGAGAGGTTCGTCACAAAATTAAACAAATCAGCTGTGTTCAAGATCTAAAACATACAGGAAACGTGCTGGAAGCAGACTCCAGAGCCAGGCTTGTCAGCTCCACATTACGAAGCCCGACAGGGACCGGACTGGTACTCTGAAGTTGCAAGTGTGATATTCTGGACACATATTTTGGTCTGTGTGACATTTCATTTGCCCTGTAAATGGTTTGTTTAGCACAAACGGGCTCAAGAAAATGATTAAAAAATATGAAAAAGTTGCACAGTACACCTTTAATAGCGAACACATTACCTGCGTCCACTTGTGGTGGTCACTGGTCATGGCATGAACATCACAGATTAGAGTCTGCAGGACAAAAATACATCCAACCAGTAAAAACAATGCTGTCCTTCTAATGACATCATTGCATCTAAACAACTTTTACCTGCATGGTTGGCCGTAGCAGGATGTGCCTGCTCTGATAGGTGGGAATCTTGGTATTACCGGCTTGTCTGTAGTCTCTCACCTCTACTATCACACAGCCACAATGAAAGATGTTCATCTGAGAAATAACAGGGAGTACATCAACAATCATTTCAGAGCCAGATATTTAGAGTTAATTCATTAAGAAGAACTGCTCTCATGTGTTAATGTATACTGTCTATGTTAGCTAAATTATGCACACCTGTGATTTCTCCAACAGATCCACCAGAACGGGAGGTAATTCTTCAGCATCCAGGAACTCCAGAAGCTCTCTTTCTTCATACGGCAGGCGGATGGTTTCAGAATCTAGACAGCAGCGCAAACATGAACTTTACTGATGATACAACCGTTTAACAGTTGTGTTTGCTCCACAGTTATTACCAGATCCATTTTTGCCCCTGAGCATTAAGGAATAGCCTTCATTCCCAGGGTACAGGTTGACTACCAGAGATGACAGAGACTCCTGAGACACGAGCTTTTCCAGTAGATTCACATTTCTTCTCAGATTCTTCAAAAACACAGAGAAACACAGAGTTTGTAAGACTTACATAGGGATGCACCGATATAGAAATGTGGGCCGATATTGATATCTGATCAAAATATTGATGTGATATGTGATAACCAACATATACAGATATTACATTAATATAAGTTAATATAAATATGGATGCAAGAAAATACTGATGCACTGAAACATCACAATATTTCGTGTTCTGAAAATGAATCGATATTTATTTACAGTAAAGACATTTTTATTGAGGATTTACATGCAAACATTTATTGTATTTCCTTTTTGAGGTGCAATTCAAACTCTGACTTCTAGGTGGCAGCAGTTTTAACCGCACTTGATCTGATGGAACAACAAACTCGCTCGATAACGCTAGATGTGTAATCTAAGTGTCTGGCCTGAGTTTTCCAATTAAATTCAGTCTTAAAAATTGAAAATATCATTCAGCTTTTAGTGTAACAATATATCATATCGCCTCCTCGGTATGTTTCGCCAGATTCTTGCCAATACACACATTTAATTTATAAAAACATATATATAAGTATAATTTATTATTATTACATACACACCTCACACATTTACGCTTCTCAGATGTTTGCTATCAATGTCGCATGAACGAACAATATGCACGGTCTCACCCCCCACCCCAGAAACAGAAAAACAAACTGGTACTAAAAGCACTTGATAAAGTTAAAGTCCCATTAGTTGTCACACTGGTGTGTGAAATCTGTTCTCCGCACTTGACCCATCCCCTGGGAGAGTGGTGAGCAGACGGCCGCACTCGGAAACCCCTTAATGCTGAGTGTCAAGCAGGAAGGCATTGGGTCCCCTTTCACCATGGATTTGAACCCACGATCTCCAGTCTCAGGGCTAACACACATACCACTAGCCCAGTTTAACTTATTGGACCAATAACTAGATTGATGTTGGTATATTGTGAATATTTACTGTGTATACATGAAAATGTATAAAGACAGCAACTCACATTTTAGGAATGTGTAATAAAATAGGGTGTGCTACTGAAAATGCTGATTATTTCTGTTGATAAATCTCATATACCGTAAATCCTCTAATATTAGCCTGTATTTAATTAACTGCCGGGTATCATATTTTGGCCGGTGTTGGAGTTGGTGGAGGTGAATAATGGCCGGTTTTTTATTGTGGCCGGGTGGAATGTGGTAACAAGCAAATACCACAGGGGGGCGGTTGTGTCATCCGTCTCACTTTTGATTTGCCAGTGATAGACCGCGGGGGTAACTTTAACCGTGCAGAGATGAAGAGGAGGCGAAAATTTGATATCAAGTTCAAAGAGAACGTGCTGATTATGCTGCAGAACACTCTGGGAGCAGCAGCAGGGGTTGTATGAACTAGTCACTAGTCGACTTCACCGCTCTATAGTGACTTTTTATGCCCGTCATCGACTAGTCGCTGTCACGTCATAATGACCGGCAAGATGCAGTCCTTGGAAAAGACAGCAGCCTGCTGTCAGCAGGTGACAAGCTCCTGCGTGTCGGGAGGCAACGCGCTGTGCCAGAGCGTCGGTACTGACACCCGCCGTAAAACGGACATTTAACCAAATTGTGACCTTTGTCCTCTTGCAATTTAACATTCACCTCATCCCATCCTAACCTTAACCAGCTTGCGCATGCAAAACTGTGATTGTTGACGCGCTCCAGACATCTGCGTCCTGAGCACGGCCACAGTAACATTATCAAATCAGGTGTTGCCACCTCAAAAAACTAATTTAACACGCGATCGTTCATGTCGGCTCATTTCCTTTTATGTTTTCTGTCTTTTATTCTTTTATTTGTGCCTGATGCGTTTCGCTGCTTTGGATTGGGGCACATCACCTGTTTTGTCCTCAGTGACGCACCTAACTGATGTGGCCAGCGAGCAGTGGCACTCCGCTGTTTTTGCGGTCGGTAGATCTTTTAGAACTGCAGTTCAAAGGTAACTCATAAGGTGAATATATATGAACCCAGGTAGCAGTTTTTTTTTAGGGATTGAGAGGAGATGCAGGAAGATAATAAACAGGCAGGACAGAAAAATAGTCAAATAAAAACAAGTTAGTTTTTGTACCTGCTGGTTGCAACAAACAGACACCATTGAAGGTAATCAGAAGTGAGGAACAGAAAATGAAAAAATAATTTTAATGCTTAGAGCAGCAGGAACTCCGAGACGCTGCAGGCGCATCAGTGAGTTTGTGGCCGCTGCGCGGGGGGGGGGGGGGGGGTGGGGGTGGGGGTGGGGGGGTGGGGGGGGGGGGGGGCTGAAGCAGAAACTACCGTTGTTAAAAGAAATGTGTTTAACTTTGAAAATGTGGGCGCAATATTAATTCACAAACTCCAGCGAACCATTAGTTCATTTTGCTCAAATAGAAATTGAGGCCTGCCTCTAATTCTGGTCCTCCTTCCAATAAAGGCCTGGAGCTTGATGAGCTTGAGTCAAATACAGGCCCAGGCCTGTATTAGAGGATTTACGTTATTTTGTTTTTGACTGAGCTGGTTATTTGTACAGCCACAAAGACCTGAACAAAAAAAAATTCAGGTTGTGACAGCTTAATAGGTATTGGAGTAAAACTACCCAAGTTCTCTCCTTTCTTATCTATTCTTTTGGAAAATTGAGTAAACAAACCTTTAACTCTGGCTCTTTTTCACATTCCTCCACATAAAGCTCATAGAGCTTCTGGTACAAACTCTTCTTCCCGCTAGACGAAGTTCTTCTTTTGGCTGGTCGCTGTCGAGCACTTTCGACAATGTACTATACAACAGATAAACAAAAAAACGCTTTGTTAGATATATGCTCGTAACAGCTGCTTAAAATTAACATTCAACATGTAATTAATGTGTTCTTCTGCAGAGATGTGAAACAGATTGAAATCGTGTTTTACCTCGGCTCGATCCAATGCATACTCCAAAACTTTTTGCTTGAAAGTAGAAAAAAAACCTACATTTGATCACTTACAATTAAAAACAAATGAATAGAAAGGAGAACAGGATCACGTGCAAGGGGGTTCTGCTTGGGTCGTGTTTAGCTGACGTGAATAATCCAATCATTGCTGTGAAAACAAGCTAAACAGATCAAGATGAATGAACTGAAATAGATCTGATTTACCATTGTGGTCCACCGCCAGCTGCAAGGCGAGAGACAGTATAAGATGCTGTCCTTTCTGCCCCACACTGTCACCTTCTTAGAGTGACCATTCACACCCTGCACAACAGAAACAAACAGCGGGACAAAACAAGTTTAAATGACCAGAGAAACGTGCACTCAAAGGGACCGGTGGTTTCTTTACTGTGAAAATGTCAAATAAGGTGGCTGGCAATCCGTCAGATCCAACTACAAGGACAATTTGTTTCATCCAAGTTGTTAGATCAGTTATTCGTGCTTAAAATTCGGCAAATAAGACACCGAAACAAGCGCGGAGTCAATTAAATAGCATTATTGTGATGAGCGTAACACTAATGAGTGTGAGTGGAGTCCGGAGTGGGTCAACAGCAACAAGCTCGGTGATGTCTGACCGCTGAGGCTAACGCAGCTAACCGTTGCGAGTGTGGGAAAGCTGGAAGTTAAAAGCTCCGCTAACGCTTCTACGTCGTCTGAGACGCCACCACACACACCGACGTCAGTACCAACAAACTGCTTCCACTTGCCTTCGAGATTGCATGGCGGTCGACAGTAGCCGTAACGCAAGAAAACAAAATGAAATTGAAATATCAGTGTCTTCATTGAAAAAAAGTCCGAGCAGCAGCCATTTTCTTCCAGTGTGACAACAACAGCTAAACTTCCGGTTTGAGCGGAGGTGGGCGGAGCTTCCCAGAGCCTCGACCTACAACCAACTGATAAACTTTGTACCGGTTTTTTGTGATTAAAACCGGATTTTAAATTAATTATTATTTAGAAGATGGTCTTTGATTTAAATCAAACAAACCCATTACATAAAAAACAAATTAAATCACCAAAAATATGTCAGAAGACACAATTTAAATCATAAATGTGCATTTTTCAGCAGTAAAACCCAGTAACTAAAATCCTTAAACATAAAACATGCGGCCAATTTATGTCACATCAGGGTTTCCTTTCAAATGTATATTGATGCACATTTGGGCTTCTTGTGCAAAAATTTGCACCCAGAGGTGACCGTGCCCCAGAAAATGTTCATGGGGGGACGGACATAACCAGTGAATATTATGGAGTTGCACCAGATTGATCTCTGTTGTAACTCAGAGAGTTTGGTGTGCAGTTGTGCATTGCTACATTGATTCTTTTTCATTATAAAACTTGGCCTCTGCATTCAGCACAATTGCTTGCCTCAAATTTGAGAAAAACAAACATTACAGAAAAAAGACAAAAAATCATTTCAGTTATTGTTTCAAATGTTAATGTTTTAGAAAATTAAAAATTTTAGTTTGCTTATTGGTGTCTTGACTAACACATCCATGATAAGGACCATTTTTTAAAAATGGTGAGCATCAGTGACATACACATATATTTAATATATTAAAGGTGTGGGACACTCATTTAATCAATACATTTGCTGGGGTCTCTAGTAGGAATGATTGTCATGTAAGTCATTCTTGGGGGGAAACAATATACTGGTGCACCACTTCCAGGAAGTGAGCCACATCCCAGCTGAGCTTCAGACACAGGTTTTGGAGACTTTTTTCCTGATATTTGGATATCTTTCCTCGGATTAGATATTAGCAACATGACTCTACCCAGGGGCAGTTCTAGACCAAATTTTCCAGGGGGGCCACAGTGGGGCCAGTATTTTTTCATTGGGGTGCAAGACAAAAAAAAGAAGGAAAAAAATTAGGGCAATATCAAAATTCTTTTTTGTCTCCGCCATATGACTAATTTTGTGCTTGTGCACAATTTTGCCAAAGGAAATTCCTAGTACTGTGAAACTACTCACTTTTTTGTTTTCTTCTTTTTCATATCTATCTTTACTATATTTTGGGGATCAAATTTATCAAAAATTTTCCTTAACTTTTTTCATCTATGATCTTTTACAGCTGTATTTTATAAAACAAGATTCAAACAAATTCATAAGTAAAGACAATGAACAAGAAAACTATTACAGCGAATGCAGTAATGGTTTAGTTGTGAAAGTAAAACTGGCATGTTTTTATGGTACTCAGATAACAATTCTGAATGCTTCACCGCAACATGAGACTGAGTAAAAAATAATTCTAGTTGATTATTATAGTTTGTGACTTAATTTGAAGATTACATGTGCTGTACATATGAAAAATAAACATTCAAACAAATTAAATATGTGCACAATACAATTTCAGACAATTTTCAGACAATTTTAATTTTTGCCTTTCAGACTTTGCATGTACCAAAAAAAACTCCTCTCCCAGTTGCTTTTTTCCAGTTCCTAAATTCACATGGTGAGTCAAGCACACTTCCTGCGCTACTTGGTGGGCTAAAATGTCTGCATGCATGACAATAAGTAGAGTCCATAGTAACAGAATATTCAACCCAAGGATGACTTTCATACCAGCTTGGCTGAAAGCTGCGTCTTCTGTCTCCTATTAATGTCACTGGAAATGTCCTCAAACGAGGCTGAGTAGGTGGGTCATCCTTGCACTTGCTGATATCTGAAAGAAAATAAATGTTAGCATGAGGATAAAAGTCATAATTAGTTAATTCAGAGTCTTATTTTATCTATTTATTAAATATAAACAACAGAAATTTTGGTCCAGAGTCAGCATGCCTCAAATGCATTTTACACACAATATGAGCTGCAATCACAGAGGGGTTGTTCAACACCCACAAACCTGACGGTAGTGCACACGATGCACATGACAGAAGATGTCCCTCTTTTTGCTCCTCACTCTCTCCCTCACAGCCTACATCTTCCTCCTCACTCTCAGGGTGGACAGTCTCTGACCTCTCTGGTTCCTCTCCAACCATCTCCTCCTTTTCTCTTTCATCCTGTTTCTCAGCTCCCTCGTGACTTTCATCCTCTCTCTGTCTACGCTGTTCTTTATTAACAGCGGTAAAAAAGGACAAAATGTCCCTTTTTCTTTTCATGGCCGCTGATGCTTCCAGTCAGTGCTGCGAGTAAGTCATAGATAAATGAATGCTGTGATCCAATCTCAACGTGTCTACGGCTTAAAATGCAGCAACTTCATTTTTATTTTACAGTTAATGTTACAAAGGAAAAACAAATCAGTATTAACTGTGCATAGACTCAGTTAGGAACTTAAAAGTAAATGACAGAAACGCGCGACTATGATCAAAACACTGATGTCAGGAAAATAAACTGTATTGCTTACCTTCATCTCTTAGCGTCTTTTCCGTTAGTCGTGCTCAAGAATTTCTTCGGGTCCCATTTAAACTATTTTTAATCTTTTATTCAAAAATCCACTGGGTAAACAGTTCTGTCCAGAGTGTGCTGCGCTCTAAAGGCTCAGTTTGAAACGCTGCAGCACATTAGTTCCCATCTCCGAAGCAGCGCAGGAAAAAATATTCCGATCTCTTCAGCACAGAGGCTATAACAGGGGCCAGGGCCGGTTCTATAGGGGCCCAGGCCCCTGTGGGCCCCTGTTTAAAACCGCCAATGACTCTAACACTGGCTTGCAACGTTGATGTTTTATTCCACAAATAACACAAGGCTGCAGGAGTTCTGCCATGTTTCGGAGCAGCTAATGCTAACAGTTAGCTTCTACTAGCCAAGATGTTCTCTGCTGTCATCTGGGCGCTAAAACAACAGCCTTTCCCGTCATGAGCCAAGATTGGTGAGTCCATGTTGATCTGTCAGGTTTTTCAAATCCTAGAGTTTCTATCAGAAGCTAATGCAGGAGGTAGGTGTAGGAGACTATTTTCATGAAAAACTTAGAGAGAGTTTATAATCAGAAATGATGATTAAAAATATTTTTACAATGATCCATACCTATAAATAAATTGTTGATGAAAGTTTTATTAAAATAAATATGGTTGTATTTTTAAATAAGTAAATAAATAAATGCTCCACATTCCATGCTGCACTCCTTGCTAGAGCTTTGCATCTAATGTTGATTTAGTTGAGTCGTATCAGATTTAGCCAAAGTTGGAAAATAACTAGGTGCACAACCTCATGGAATCGTCTGTTAGCTGTGGTGTCCATCTTGAACTGTTGTTGATTCCAAAAGTTACTGAGTGGTGTGTTTATATTTTGTAAATACTTTTAAAGAGTGTCATGATTTCATGAGATAAACCAGGTTGTTTTCCAACAGTTAATGGTAAAGTTTAAAGCAAACATTATTTAATCAAATGCATACTCACATGTGGTTATGTGGTGATAGAGCTCAGTATTTAATCCTTTGTCTCAAACATCTCACTAAAATGACTGAATTATTGTGAACAGTCTGTTGAAATATCTGAAATGCCCAGTAGGGGGAGAAGCAGGACAGTGGACTAGTGAATAAGTTGTTATCGGAGTTTACTCACATTTCTACTAATTTCTGAATGTGTAGTAAATATACAAGTTTAGAAAATTACATTTTTAGGCTTTGCTTTGTTCAGATGCATCAGATCATTTTTCGTTTATTTGTTCTACTTTGTAGTTTTTTTTCATTTATCATTTATTTGTTCTATTTTGTAGTTTTTTTTAATCTGATGATTCACATGTTAAAGTTCTTGCACTTAATAGAAACAGAATTATTGCCACAAATGTTTAACCGTCTGGCAACAGACTTGTTTGTTCTCTTGAAAGATTTTTCATTATCATCAGTGTGTCAGCTTCATGAGGGCCAGTGATGATTTATGTGGGGCTCACTCAGGTGAACTGCTACACACCAGTGCAAATACATGAAGTCCATGCATTAGCTCAGAGACATGCAAGCAGTTTTTTCACACAAAGAACATCATTTCCTTGTGTTACCACACATCTCTTATACGTGGCAACTTAGAATGTTTTGTGTGATGTGAGTAAAATGTGTTTTCTCTGTTAAATCAAACGAATGTGACTAGAAATAAAAGACTAAATGAAAAGCATGTGTTAAAACAGATAGTAATAAAAGATCATTTAAATGCAGAATGATAAAGAAACAAAGCAAAGTATTTTTTCCATTGTATTTTATAATAAACACCATATTTTTCATTTTCCAGGACATTACCAGAGACCCACAATGTGGCGTCAAACAAACATCCACTCTCACAAGGATTCATCCTTCATGTCCTCATTAGCAGAGGCAATAGTTCTTTGGAATTTTGTAGGAATAATCCTAAAATACTGAACAGCTGGAGAGCTGGACACCATGACGTCATAGGAAATAACACACACACACACACACACACACCCAGAGGAGTTGAACACACATGTCAGGTTCACACCTGGTATGTTTATCACACAAGTCTTCAGGTAACGACTGCAGTGAGTTTGACTCCATCAGTCGCTGTTCAGTTTTATATTATCACTTTGGATCCTGAAGGCTGATGTGACCCTGCTTTCATTCCAAACAATGAGCTATTTGGTTGTATTATGGGATTATAGTGCTCAGAAAAATCTGCAAACCACATAGAGTCGGCCAGAGGCAACAATGTGAAAAAAATCTTGTTGAAATATTGCCTCTGTTTAGCAAAGATTTTGTTTCATTGTCTAAATCAGTTCTGTGTTGAATTTTCACTTCTTCATAGACTTGGGGAAAACTTTTAAGTGGTGTATTCCAACAGAATGGTGATACAAGTTGTTTTAATAGGTTATGCTTGTGTTCTGAATGATGAAGCTGATGAGCTAACCCTCTGCGCTGACCTCATCTGTCAGATACAGGAAGCTGGAGACACAAAGATGGACAGAAATCAGATGTTCTGTTTTTATTTTTTGGTTCTTACCTGAAGTTTAGTCTTTTCCTAGGCTGAAAAGGATCCCGTGCTTCTGGCATCATATATAAAATATAATTTGGATGAAATCTTGAAATCTGCAGAAATCTACTGTCCAATTTCAATTCCACTGAAACCACAGGAGGAATTTATCTTTTGATCATCGTTTGTTACTTATGACACATCCGTGATAACAAGAAACCCATAAAATTGTATTTGTCATCAGTGAATGCAATTTTTTTTCTGATGTAAAAAATATTTAACCAATGGCTGCACATCTGACCATTTCTTTATAAACTAGCTGAGCAAAAAATAAGCAAAATAGACAAGTCATCATTTTAGATGTTCTCATTATGAGGATAGCCAATCAATAAACATCAGGTCATTGAAATAATTTATGACAAGTTTGACAGTCTGTAAAATTCAGGTTAGCATAAACATTTCTTGACAAACATGCTAATCTGTATTTCTATTTAACCCTTATATGTTAAGTGCATTTTTTTGTGCTCAAACGTTAGAAAAATAAAAAAGATAATATAAGGGTCAAAATTCTGAAAGTAAAATAATGTTCATATAGAAATATGGATGGAACAACTGCATGTAGAGCCACAGAAAGAATCCCTTGAATTCATAAATACTTACAGATGTTTGGGAAGGACAATGGCCCAAATTCAGGACCAACATGCAGGAGGTGGGGTGGGGGGTTATAGATTGAAGAACCCAAACCCCTCCTGGAGAGAGGCAGAAGAGAAAAGAAAAGAAGTTTGTAAAATGGCAAATTATCACTAGCATTCTACAACCCCCCAAGGTGCTTTACAGCACAACCAGTCATACACACACACACACACACACACACACACACACACACGCACGCACGCACGCACGCACGCACACACACACACACACACACACACACGCACACGCGCACGCACACACACACATTCACATGCTGATGGTGATGGCAAAGCACAAAGGAATACAGGCAACAACCTTTTAAGGGAGATGATGGGTTTTGTGATATTAGTAGGTGACAATGAGCAAATTTACCACCACCACCACCACTAATAATAATAATTGTGGCAACTAGATTTATTTTATATAGAAATCATACCCGTTACAACTTTCCCTGGACAATAACACACCACTTTTACTGTGTTATTATCTGCAGAAGATCTGGCTTAACATGTTCTCATGTCTCTTGCCTCTTAACACAATAATGCCCAGTCCAATCCATTCATCCATCCATTTCTGGCTGTTTGTCTGGGAAATCCCAAGGCGTTACCTGGCCAGCCGAGAGACATCGTCCCTCCAGCGTGCCCTGGGTCTTCCTTAAGATATCCTCCCGATTGGACGTGCCCAGAAAACCTCACCAGGGAGGCGTCCAGGAGGCATCCTAACTAGATGCCCGAACCACCTCAACTGGCTCCTCTTGATCAATGGTCAGCATGAAGTTTCCTTAGAAATGTATGCAGATGTTGTAAGACCAAAGACTCAGGGAGAGGAAAAGATCATTACATAATTAAGTGGTGATATATATTAAGTGATCAGATTTTTACTGGAATGTTGTAATTGTTTTGTTCCAGGCAAGGACGTCATTTTCACTTTAGAAGTGGAGGGGACACGGGGGGTGGGGGTGGGGGTGGGGGGTATCTTTACAGTATGTTCTAATGGGAAACAGGCTTCAACACAAACGGTTGTTTTCTGCTTGGTCCTAGAGCTCAACCGGTGTCAATTTAATATAGCGTAATATAGTTTTTGAATGGTAAAAAGTGCAGGGGTCAAAACTTGACTTTGGAAAAAGTGGGGGGGACATGTCCCCCCGTTCCCCCCCCCCCCCCCCCCCCCCCCCCCCCCAAATTTACGTTCGTGGTTCCAGGTATTGAGGGGGGTAAATAATCTCAGAAGAAGGAAGGAAAGATGAGCTGTAGTGGAGAGGCGGCAGGCACGGTGAGTATTTGTTGGGTTTAGGCTCAAGATGGACTTCAATTCAAGTCTGCAGTTTAAAGCTGCCATCTTTCCATGCTGGTCATTCCACGGAAGCAGACTGCGTGCGTGTGTCCACATTTCAAAAACCTGACCTTGAGTGACTCTGCTCTGTGGTTAATGGCTGCGTTGGATTCCAGATTCTGTGTTAACAACAAAATGGGGTGATTCATTCCTGGTGAACAGATCTGCTGGATTATTGATAGAGAACATTAGTCATTTCCAAACATCAGGAGGGAAACATGGGTGGGGTTGGGTGCTAGGGGTCGAGAATAGAGCATACAAAGAGACGGACAGCATTCTAAATAACAAACTGTTTGGTTTTATTGGGTAAACGTGGTGTGTTGTTAGGCTTGGATGTATTTCCCCTGTGGCACCACAACAAACATCAGCTTTGAAGGATTTCCTGCATAATGAGGTATTCACTCAGCGAAGGAGCTTATTTCTTTACGAGGTTCTCACTTTTAATGGTACTTATTTAATCAAAGCGATACAAAACAGTCTCGCCACACCATTATTCATCCAGACGGTTTGAATGTTTACTTCATGGACCTCATTAAGAAATAAAGTCAGAAAAAATGAGTTTATAACGAAGATTTTAAACATTTGATTATTGGTGGTTATACTGATTGGCAAATGATGTCATATCTAATTTAGTGACATCGTAATGACATTTCTGATCTTTTTTCCACTGATTCTTCCAAAACCCACATCAAGCAGACTTACTTTATTGATAGAAATGTATTATTTATCTCTGCATATCATTTTCATCCAATCATCAGGGGTGGCTCAAGAACATTTATGTAATAAAAATGAACTTGTCATCTGTTGTATAATTGCTTTATATAAGTTATTGATCACTACTGTTTGTCAATCACACTTATCATGAGGATGTAATCAAGGGTAATCATGGTAGAGCCGAACATAATGTGATCATGAGGATGTAATCAAGGTAATCATGGTAGAGGTGTGCAGCTTTGCACGCACATCAGGGAATGTATAAGGAGCAGAGCAGGGCTCAGGGGGGTTAGAGCTGCTTGGCGTATTCTACCTGACGAGGTTCATGGATTACATGTGTTCAGTTCTTCACCTATCATGGATTACGTTTTCTAACTGGGGTGTTCAGCTCTCCACCCATAAGCAACGGTAAGAGAAATGTTTCGTTCATGATTGATAACTTGTATGAATGCCGGTTGAATAAAGCCTTGTTGTTCATCTGATATTCAAGTTGTGTTTCATTGTTTCTGGCGTCGACTTGACAACGATCCTGACTAAATAAATATAAAGTGTAAAAAGAGACTTTGAGTCTTTTAAGGTAATTAAAATAAAATAAAACATTTTATTTTAGAACAATTTACGAAGGGGGACACTGGATGGGGGCCACACACTAAACCAAAGGCTCTGAATGAATTTGGGAGTTTTATTATGCTGCAATATTATGGAACTGATTCTGATGAAAGACAAAAAGGTTAAACCAGAGGCATTGCCACAACCTGCCCTGCCCGACAGCAAATCTCTGTATTATTTTTTGTTACTGACTCACTCTTTCCTTTCCCCCTCCTGAAAATAGAAATTCACTGGAACAAAGAAAAGCACATTTGGCAGTCACTTCTGTTTTTCTCTCAGATGAGCAGCTGGATGCCTGCAGGAGGAGTGGTTAGGGACGTCAAAATCCATTCAGGAAAGAAAAATTGATGCATGTCAAAGTTAATTTAGTTAACAATTTAGTTTTATATGTAATTTCCCAAACAGGTACATCAAATTACTTTAACATTATTTGTCTTATTACCAGCTTGACGCAACTTTTTGGTGTAAAGCTCAAAACGATGGGGGTCTCATTTATCAAACATTGCGTAGAATCCTTACTAAAACCGTACTTAAGCTCAGCAAAAAAAATTTGCTTCCCCAAGCAGGTTTGTGATCTATCAAACACGGAGTACGCACAGATGCATGCAATCTCCGCTTCATAAATCGGAGACTAACGAGAATGTTTCTCAGCTGATTTTTAGTCGTATCCCACCCTCACCACGGCCACTTACTGCCATAAATAGTCAATGCAAAGTGCCTTGTGGATCTCATGCATATACATAAGCCGGCTGTTGCAGCGTTCCGCCAATGACGATGGCGACTGTAGATCAAGGCAGATCAAGGAAGCGCAATTTCACAGAAACAGAAATTGATGTACTTGTGGGTGAGGTGGAGAAATGAAAGGAAGTGCTTTTGCAAAACAATTAAGAGAAAATCCACTGAGTGGCACAGCGTTGCTGAAGCCGTCACTGTTGTGAATTCTTCAGAGAGATCTGTAGCAGATATAAAAAAAGACGGTCCAATCGGGATTCAATCCCCAGACTCCCGGGTGAAAGTCACTCGTGTTAACCAGTCAGCCAAACGGAGGCCTCCCCTGTTTAACTAGCCAGGACGCATGATTAATTGGGTCACAGTGACAGGACACACACTGTCATAGACTCATGACATTCTCTCTCAATCTGTCCCCCTGCTGATATTCTGCATTCCGTATTCTGCGCTTCAGGCTGTGTGTGTGTGTGTGTGTGTGTGTGTGTGTGTGTGTGTGTGTGTGTGTGTGTGTGTGTGTGTGTGCGCGTGTGTGTGTGTGCGTGTGGGGGGTCTTGTTCTGTGTGAAAACGAAGCAGTACAAGTGATAATGCTGCAGGATTTCATAATTTTATCCTTCTCAGCAGCAGCACTGCAGGTGCTCTCCATGCCCAGAATGTGCGTAAGCAAGGTCCTTAGTCAACTTAAAGTTGCGCACATTTTTCTGCTAAGTTTTCTTTGATAAATCCCAAACTTTGCGTGGAAAGTTGCTTATGCAGTTTTTCGACCCCGTTTTGTGCGTAAGCAAGTGTAGCGGAGGCAAATTTGATCATTTTATTTGTTATAACCAGGAAGATGTAATATTCTGTATAAATATAAAATATTAACCAGCTAGGTTCTTTATTGTAATTAATCAGAAGATTCTAGGATTTAATTCAGAAGATCTAGGTTCTTTGCTTTTTCAGTGATCAACCACACTTCGAGTTACTTCAAGAAGGAGTCAGGTTTATAAAAGTAAGACTTTATTTTACAAACAGTTTAAAACATGACTAATTAACTAAGCATTTACTGTGAGTGGATGTACCGTAATTTCCGGACTATAGAGCGCACCTCAATATAAGCCGCACCAACAAAAAAAAAAGGTTTTCTACACACACGCCGCACTCAAATACAAGCCGCGGCGCAGCAGCCACATGCAGGTCTCTGGCGCACAGCGCGTGTATGGCCATAACATAAGATAATTAGACAGAAAGACGCTACACGGAGTTTTTTTCTTGTTCAAAATGAATTTTAAACATGGGTGAGCACTGATAGCATTCATATTTCTGGATGGTTATAAAATAAAAACAGAACTGACACGTTATTACCGGTAATTTGCATGCATGTTTAGAAGAAAAGAACAGCGCTGACGCAGCATTAATAAGCCCTGGATGATTAGAAAATAAAAACTGCACACAAAACATGCCTGGTTAGTAAATAAAACACACTTGCCTACCAGAAAAAGTCATTCGCTCTCATCCTCCTCTTGTGCACTAAAGCCATTAAAGTCCTCTTCTTCAGCCTCAGAAGAGCTTCGTCACATACCTTTTCTCTGGCGATGTCAGTGTCGCTGTCCGTGTTGCTGTCATCATCCCCGGGTGAAGCTGGCTTGAATAAGTTCTTCCCGCTGCCGTCTCCAGCGCCGAACCATGGATTCATTCATGCCAAGCTTACGTGCGGCAGCACTGTTTCCCTCCTTTACTGCCAGATCGATGGCCTTCAACTTAAATGCGGCAACATATGAACTCATACGTGTAGTTACCATGATGGGGGGGTATGGATTTGAAAAAAAATTCTTCATCATGCCGGCTTCTTGCGTGTGCTAAATTAAAATAAGCACTGTCTTTGATTTCCACTTTTGACTTCCACCTGTTTCACTTTCTGTTAAAGCGCCCCCTAGTGGCAGGTGAAGGAAAATCTTCAGTAAAGTCGCACCTCATTATAAGCCGGATGGTTCAAAGCGTGGGGAAAAAGTAGCGGCTTATAGTCCGGAAAATACGGTAACTAAACGTGAGGAAGGAACCTATGTGTGAATGCGATGTCAGTCAGAGCTTCCTTATCAAAATAAGCTGAGTTTTGGTGAAAATAATTTGGTTTGCTCTAAGCCAGTGGTTCCCAAACGTATTTAGCCGCACACATCCTTCTATGTCCCGACCAATATTTAGAGTGCCCAGGTAGCACATAAACAATGCAATTTAATGGTTTTCTTAAAGTAGGAACGTTTAACCTGTGCGGCCAGAGCGCTCTCCTTCCTTCTGCTCTGTGTAAACCTGAGCTGATCACCTACTTGTGCGTAATCAAATGTCTATAGGGGACAAGATGGAAAAGCTATAGCCATGAGGTTCACTTTTGCCTCAGACCGACTTATTGCTGTTTTATGGTGTGGCTGAATCTGCGATCCGCTGCCACGCGGACTGGAATAACAAATGCTGCAGTAACATGAGTTGTCAGGTTCGGAGTCACTGGCTGGAGCGGACCCGACTTTAATACGTCATCCCAAAATAGAAGCTAATATCTTAATTTGGCCTTGAATGAAAAATGTTATAAAACCTCTTAAAAGTTTTTATCACAGAGGAGGCAGCGCTCATTCCTGCCTTCAGTCTGATGGCACGCCGGAGTTTGCGCAGCGTGTGTGCTTATTGAATCTGTGTGTGTGTGTGTGTGTGTGTGCGCGAGGCACAGCTGCATGAGCCACTCAAGTCACCGCGTCTCATTATTGGCGCTATTTAAACCAATGTTGTAAAATAACTTCTGCCCAGCCCAGATGTGCTCACATGTGCACCCGTGAGCCGTGGTTCCGCTGGAACGCGTCTGACCTCTGACAGACGCACTCTGAACTTCAGATCTTCAGCGCACTGTTAATAGCCTGAATGGGAATCATTTCTTGATTTATTTTGTTACATCTACAATGTTCTGTGTGTGAGGTTTACAATGCCAGAACACCTGCATGAGACAGGGTGTTAATTACAATCTGCCAGAATGACTCGCCACCTTCAGATTCCTCCAACACCGTTAAAAATGATCAAATATGGAACATATCGGCGTGTGCAGGCCAGAGTGCTGAAGCTCGGCGCATTGTTATTATGAAGCTAGGGCACATGTGGAGTACACATGATCGGCAAACAGCAACACAACTCTTCCTCTATTTCCGTTCTTTCTTACTTAAAAATCCAATCTCGATGTTTTATCTTCACAAAAAACACAAGCCTGAACGAATCCCGCCATTTTTTAAAAGTTGCTAATGCTAATGGTTAGCTTCCAGCCGAGACGGGCTCTGCTCTCTCCTGGATGCTAAATGAACAACAGCCTTCTGCCATTGTCAGCCAAGACGGGCAAGTCCATGAATGCTAATTTACAGTGTAACATAAATCTGTGGCGCTTTCTTACCGGAACAATTCCTTGTCTATTTTCTTTTAGCAGCTAATACAGGAAATATTGTTAGAAGGCTATTTTCACATTCAGCATGCATGCGAAACTCAAAGTGACCAATCGTATTTCAAAAAGAAAACGCATTATACATTTCTCAGTGAAAGTCCTCTTTGAATAGGTAAGTCTAAAATTATGCCTCAAATAAATAAATCTAGTTGTTATAAGTTCCAGTCTCTCATATTATTGATTTAAACAGGTTGTTTGAGAACTCTCAACACTGATTCTGAAACGTGATCTAATTGAGCAACAAAGGTTTGTAAGTCGTGTCTTTGTCTGTAAATTCTGAACTCAGCAGTTTTTAAATGACACATTGTAAAGTGATTCAAGGAAAGTCATTTGTAACATAAAGCAGTTGCTTTAAAATGAGTTTTGCTTTGATCAGTGCCAGCTTCTGATTGAATCTTTGGGGATATCTGGAGTGTGGATGTAATCCAGCTCTGCATGGACATGAAGCTGAAAACAAAGCCAGGCCAAGTGAGCGATAGTGTGTCTGTGTGTTTTTGACCTAAAGCACACGAGTTAGAGCGAGGACGAGGGAATTCCAGGAATAAATTCTGACACAAACAGCCTGTGGGACAACACAGCACTAGGTACTGGCCAAAGAAAACACAGAGAAGGCAGGGAAG